TTTCCTCATCAATCAAATTCTATTTATTCATGTACTTTTATGGCTTTAGCTGACATTCTTCTCACCAGCTTTTGGTGTAAGTGAATTTACCATTTCCAAAATGGTCGCGCTCAGCTTGATGAATTTTCGCATTGTATGCCCTGATAGGTATAGACGATTTTTTCTTCGACAGCTTTTTCGTGCCTTTGTCTGCATAATCTATTTTTGAAGCTTTAGTTGAAGCTTTTTCCCATCATCTATTGGTAAGAAATGCACTTGTCAGTTGCACTCTGTCTGGGAAAACCGATTATGCTTGAGATTCTTGATGCGTACATCCACGACTACCAAATAAGGGACGAGATAAATGATTTGCACTTGCTCTTCTAGAGCTTATTTATTTTTAAGCTTATCCAAAGCTAAAGTGTAATTCTATAAGCATTGCACCTTGGCCTGGCTAACACGACTAAAAATAGTTTCCTCACAGTGGCGTACCCAGGATTTCGGCTCGGGGGGGGGGGGGCGCGACAAAAAAAAATTTCTAATGAAGGTGCGTGGCGTCAGCCACGCACTCCGAAAAATTTTTTGGGGTGCTTATCAAAATTTTTTCGGGTCCCCGACCCCTAAAATCCGGAAAAAGGGGGCGTGGCGCGTCAGCCACGCCCCGAAAAAAAATTTTTACAAGGCTAATTTGAATTTTTAAAAATTTTTAAAAATTATTTTAATTATTTACAAAAATAAACAAGTCACTTGCACATTTTTATAACCCATATAAGTAGCTTTCAAAAATTTCGCGACCCATTCTCGGGGGGGGGGGCGCGCGCCCCCCCCCCCCTCGGTACGCCACTGTTTCCTCATATAGTCAAAGGGTCAACACATGCACGAGGGGGGGGGGGATGGAGGCTGTGCAAACATTTCAACCATCATTGATGCCATATGGCTACTTCGAGCTAATGCAGCTTAAAAATGTAGGTAAATTCGTTTTTTTCCTTGTTGAAGTTTTCTGAATATGCTAATTTCTATTCACCTTGATTTAGCTACGAGAAAAAACTGTTCTACATCTTGATATTTGAGGAAAAAGTTTTTACAGCGTACTTATATTGCAGTGTCTTGCAGTATCCATGTAAGATAATACCGTATCTGTGTGAAAATCTCTAACAACATAATTCTTCGCTCATCAAGCCTACATGAGTTCCTATGCTTTCCACCGGAGGCAAACGCAAAAAAAAATTTCAATTGGAAGAGGGGGAGGGAGGAAAGATGAGAAGGGAGTGGGTAGAAAAAAATTTTTTTTAAGAAGCTGTGGCATTAGCTATAGGCGATTCATAACACGCAGAGATTGCGGACCTATCGGCGTCTCCTTGATCAAGCGCTCTTTCGTTTCTCTTACCATATGCTGTCTCTCCCATGCACGAACTATTTAGCCGGACACAGTGGCGCCCAGTCTTTGCGCGTAATGAATCGTGTATAGAGTATATATACATATAATCTCAACGAGATTGGCGGCTGGAAGGCGACCGCTCCGCCCGACGCAGTCTGCGTCTTTCTTGTGAAAGTGCTCTCTGCTCATTCTCTACCCTTGATTAGGTCACGAAGCCCCGCCTTCCAGCTCCACTCCAGTTGAATCGAAGGGTACACATGCTTAAGCTGTTAATGGTACAGTACCACCGTAACTTCAAGTTTGAGCCGAATCACCGCTGATGTCCTCCCAGCTCCGATTCTAATACAATCTATGAAACGGGATTCTATACAAAGTTACCAAGATCTACGAAAACGCTTTGTACCTCCGCTTATCTTATGCATACCGTAATCCGCTAAATGAAGTGCGCAAGAGTTTTTACTCGCAAATCCTCAAAAATTTCGACAGAAATTTGAAATATTAGGTTGTCCGGAAATTAATGCCCGTTTTAAATTTCAAACGCAATAGGTCATACACTTCTCACTTCTAAACAGGTTGCAAAGTACCATTCGATAGAGCAAAGCAAGCTCTACAAAATGGCAACCTTGTTCTAGCGACAGCTCTCATCCACCTCGAGTTTCGAGCCAAAAACTAAAAAGACTCAGCAGCCCGAAAAATCGGAAAAAATCGTAACTCATTTCATAAAAATCCTACAAAAATTCTTACTTGCTCACGTAAACACTATCCACATAAAACATCTACATACGCCCTTGCCGCATTTTTTTCTCTGTTAGAAACCAAGAAAACTGAAATTTTCGTGCATACGCCGAAGTGATGCTATGTCGTCCCCACATAGATAGTTGTATACAACAAGCCTGTAGAAGTACAGACTTAAATTTTCAGCCCTCTATAAGCTTTAGTTCTCGAGAAATACCGAATATAGCTTTCCCTAGTTAAGTGATCCAAGCTAAAATTCATTTCTCGAGAAGTAAAGCTTGTAGAGAGTTGAGAATTTATATTTGTACTTCTACAGGCTTGTAGTATACAACTACCTATGTGGAGATGGCACAGCATCACTTTGGCGAATGCACGAAAATTTCCGTTTTCCTGAATTCTAACAAAGGAAAAAATACGGCAAAGGCGTATATAGATGTTTTATGTGGATAGTGTTTACGTGAGCAAGTAAGAATTTTTGTAGGATTTTTATGAACTGAGTTACGATTTTTTTTGATTTTTCGGGCTGCTGAGTCTTTTTAGTTTTTGGCTCGAAACTCGAGGTGAATGAGAGCTATTGCAAAAGCAAGAGAGCCATCTTGTAGAGCTTGCTTTGCTCTATCGAATGGTACTCAGCAACCTAATTAGAATTGAGAAGTGTATGACTTATTGCGGTTGAAATTCAAAACGGGCATTAATTTCCGGACAACCTAATAGTTTTGTCAAAAAATTTTTCTTGGACGTGGCTGCCGACGTTAGGGGTTATAGGCAGACAAAATTTTGGAAAGAATCCCAAAAGTCTTTCCCCAAGGCAGGCTAAACATGCAACACTCGAAAAAAAGTCTCGTGGTGCTCTCCAGCCACCTCCGGAAAAAAGTTGTGATTACTATGAAAAATAAATACAGAATAATATGATGCATTAAAAAAGGTGTGATTACTGTGAAACCTCTCAGGGAGCCCAGAGCTGTCCGTGTGCCAGCATCGTGTCAGTGCCGTGTCAGCGCTGTGCAAGGTGGACCTGCTCGTATTGATCGATCGACATTGCACGGCGTTGAGAACGGTGTTGGCAAGGACAACTCTGGTCGCTGCAGAAGAAGTGGCTGTGATTTCCTCTTTTGAATTTTTGCAAATCAAAAAGTTTTTTTCTATATCTTTTGCATTGAGACAGTATTTCGCCAGTTTTGAAGAAGATAATGCTCGCTTCGTTTCCCTTTTGAGATCTATTTGCAAACAAACCGCTGCTATCAAATTCAGACAAATGTCAAGAGCGGAAATCTAGCATTGATCGCTCTCACCACCCTGGTGTGGTCGAAAATCCGGTAATTCAGTGATGCAGTTCTGCTGCGGCTGCATACGCTCTACTGAGCACCGACATTCGCTCACATAGAGCCATTAATCACATGTGCTGTGTGCCCATCACACGTTCATCCATTATTAGAATGAGGTTTCGTTTTTTGCACCCACTCATCATGCATTATTTAGAGAGTTTTTATAACAGAAATGTGACAGCTGTCTCAAAATTGAGAATGTAATCTATCTTGCTCAACGCTCTATGAAAAGTTTCATGGTTACTTTGGCTCGATCAAACTTTGGTGCAATTGCACATGAGATATCATATTTAGCGAGCAAATATTGTTCACACATCATTTTCCATAAACTACCATTCTGAAATTCAAAAGTGAAATCTTAAAAACAATTATAATGATTTTCAAAAAAATTTGGGATCAATATAGCGCCCCATACTGTGCTGACAACACTTGCGCGGAAAAAAATTGCCAACCTGCATCGAGAATGCTTATGATGGCCACAGAGCTTACATTTCTAAGTTCTACGCGTCGTGACATTTCTCACGCGCATGGCACGCAACGCACAATCGAGCGTTTTGGATCGGTGCCAATGCTAAGCAAAAATTTTCGCTGCTTACCATACTTTTACACTTCTTTTAGGTCACTAGAATGCTTGAATACATACAAGGCTCCTAAATTGCAGAGTCGTTTGCACCAGCGGTGGTGCGACCGCGTCGCGCCCGGGCATCAATAGCGCCGCCTCGATCAATGGCGCCGGCGCCGGCAAAATGCCCGGGCACGACGCGGTCGCGCGACCGCTGGTGCAAACGACTCTGCAATTTAGGAGCCCTGTAGGCATTTTCGCAAACTTCCCATGTTCCTGTCAGCGCGCGCTCGATCACGATATAGCACATACAGTCGTTCTCAAAAAATCAGTCATTTTGTATAATTGCACTAATTTTCCGAAATTTTTCGGAATCTGTCGCGGGACCGGTGGCGGTGGCTCTAGATTCACATTATTATCAAAAAAGGGAAGAACAACGGAAATTCACACCAGAATCGCATTTCGTGGAAATCTCCGCACTCTGTCCTATAGTCCTATCACTGCATCTATAAAGAGTGCATTTACACAAAGCGCTGGTAAACGTGATGTGACTGCAAATCTGCAACGGCCATTTGAAGATATACGATATATATGCGGCTCACAATCTAATCTATCATAAATTTGCGAGCATTATAAACAAGAATCATAATCTTCGTACTTTTCAAGACACTTTCCTGCATAACTCCTATTGCAATCTGCACTTCAGAGAATTTTCTGCCTTTTCAAGTATAAATAAATTCCAAATCCTGCTCCACAATTCATGGAAAGCGTAAACGAGATATTGACTCAACGTAGGTTTTCAGGCCCAGTTTGTGGAAATCTGTGACGACCAAAAAACGTATCCAACTCGATTGTGTGTCTCCCGTAGTCCTCTCTAAAGCCTCAAATTTTAATGAAGTGAAATCTCTAATTATCCGGATATATTATTGGACCTTTCTTTTCTCCCAGTCTTTCTCATCCTCATTTTTCTGTAATTTTCACACCTATAATAGAATCACTACAGTAATTATTTCCGTTGCAGGACCGCGCGGGTAGTCGTGAGTACACGTCCGAGCATCGTACTGCAACGTACGAGGACGACGGGGATCAGATTGAAGAAGAGATAATCGAAGAGACAAGAACTGTCAACGAACGTATCGTGAAGACACGCCACGGATTCGGAGGCGCTGCCTACGACGAATTCTCCAAACGACGTGCGGGTTACGGTGCCCACGAGGAGTTTTCTGAGAAACGCGGTGAGCATTGGCGCAGTTTTGCAGACATCAAGTTCTGCTGCTCCGTGTGAAGCGCAAAATTTTTGTGGTAAAGTATGGTTTCAAGTACTGCAAAGTAAATGAACAGCAGGTTAGTTGTAATCTAGATTATGTCTTAGTCGGGTAATTTTTAAGGAGATCTACAGCACGTGAGGAGTTTTTTTCACTGTTTTGCTTTCATTTTCTATTTTTTTCATTTTTGGTTTTATCTTGTTTTGTTACAAGTAATCCGTAAAGCTTTGAGTAAAAGTTATATCTTAGAGTAGATTGAAGACATGATAAAATCTCACTTGCCCATTCTTTCCACCTCCGCATTTGCGAGAAATTGCCAGAAATTCCGAAATCACTGGACACTTACTTCAGTTTGTGACAGTTCTATGCATTTTTCGCCCATCTTTCGATTACTTTTTTTCTCAGTGTAATCCGCATCATTTTCTCAGTTGAAAGTAAAATGTATCACTCCGAGGTTTTTCTGCCGTTTTGATTTTGAAAACATGTCTATGACGTCGCCCTCTTTAGTCTCTCAAATCTCCTCTCAAACCTCCATTTGTCTCGCCTCATTTCTTTTTCCTACTCAAACTTTTACGAGAGGGCTCGTGATGGGTTTCACATGGTCATTAGAACCGCTAGAAACGAGTCCTTATTTTCTTTATGGGACATTAGTGCACCAGCGCTTTCTCATCGATTTTCCGAGTTTGATGGAAAGAGAAGAAAAACGAAGTTTCATCATACTAATACCCCGTCTTTGGGTATTTTCCTTTTTGTTTAAGGATTTGATTCGAACCTTGTTGTTTAGTCGAGTGGTAAACATACTGTAAGATTTTGGCATTCAAAAAAGGTTTTTTGTGGGAGATTTTCATGTGGTTTTTTCAGCAGGATACGATCGCTATCAAGGGCAGCAGTCACGACAAGAACAGCAATCGCGCCGGGAACTACAGTCGCGCCAAGAGCAGCAACAGCAGTATCGCCAGGAGCAACATTCACGACAAGAACGTCAAGAGCAACAATCGCATCGTAACGGTATGGCCGTCGACTATTCATCGCAAGACTTTCGCCAATCGCTAGCCGCGATTGACGCGGCGTCACGCGATGGAGTCGTTTCGCGTGATGGTGAGTTTCTCTTTCATTCATTTGCTTTGGCTCTTTTTGGGCAATTCTCTTTGCTAGCTTGACTGCTAGCCCGCTATTTGCTTCGATCTTGTTATTTGAAGTACTCTCAAATATTAAATATTCAATAGTACTCTCAAATATCATTTTATTCGACGTGTAGACCATCTCGTAATGGATTTTCTGTCGGTCTATAGTCGATCAGCTACTAGGGGGAATCTCTGCACTTGCACATTTCGGCTCGAGCTAAGGCTCCGGCCAATCTCTCAAATACGCCCAAAAGCGCCTGAAAGCGCTCAAAAGCGCCCAAATTTCTCTAATCATCTCATCTCTCCACACACGAAAAAGTGAAGAGATATTAGAAAAATTTGGGCGCTTCTGAACGAAGTCTGGCCGGGGCCTAAGATATTTTACGCTGATTTTTCTAGGCAGAATAAATTTTTTGAAAGGCGATGCGCAAAGTTTCATTTTTTAACATCTTCAGTTAGTCACAGCTGTCAATACCACATGTATCCACGCAAGTTCCATATACGATCTCCGCAGAATAGGTCATGGTCGAAGTAAAAAATAGTAAAGTCACAATATAGCCTGCGCTTATAGGTTGCTATTATCATTTTTCCTATAGCAGTATGGGAGAAAAGTAAGCTTTTTTCCCACGATTGTAGCTCGCACGCACAACGCATTGATTTGGCATCGTGATGGTTGTATACGTGGAGGCGGGTCTCCTGATAGAGAGCTTTTGATATGAAGAGGTTTATTAACAGCCTATCTGTGGTCTGCGTGCGTGCACTCTGCAATTGTGGAGAAAATTTACCTGGAGTTTCATATTACTTTTATCCTAGTATGCCTTGAGACGTTGTTCTCAGACTTAGAATGTTTGACAGCTGTTTTGAGATTTTCTAAATTATTTGGCAATGTACGAACGGGTAGTCGCCTCAATAAACAATTGAAGTAGTGGTGAATACGATGCTATGCTCCGCAGGTTCACGCTTGTGTATCTATGTGTTCAATTATGTACATCGTGATAATTAAAGCAACCGCAAATTGAAAACAAACTTTTATGACTCAGAATCAGAAGTTTCTGTTTCTGTGCGCATCTGGAATGCCATATTGAAAATGTCGTTTCTCTTGTCAGAGCATTACTCATCTTTTTTTCCTCAATTGATGAACGCATCGAACATCCATCTACATCTATTATAGGTGTTCGAGTGCGTCAGCAAGGCGACACTACTATCATGACAGAACATCGCGATCCATATTCATTTTATTGGCAGTTAGATCAGGTAAACTCTATTTGTGGCTCTCTATTTTGTCCATCTACACTTCTACATTTTATACCTTATGCTTCGCAGCATCGGCGACGTTCCGAATCTCCGAAGCGTCATCCACCTCCTACAGACTATGTGATCGATGAGGAAGAGGTGAGCAAGGGAATTCTCTTTTTTCTTTTTCTTTTTTGTCAGCGGAAAGTGTAGTAGAATATTTGGATTCTGAGAAAGCGATGTCGCGTAAACTCTGCTTTTTGATTAGCAACTGCTTAGAGCATGATATCAATGCATTCTCGCCTACGTATCTTAACGCAGTCACTAATATTTGCGTAGAACTGGTGATCGGAACCTCTTTACTAGATTCCCTTGTCTATAAAAAAGACTAGATGGTAATAATCCTTCCAGGTAGTGGAAACCGTATTATCTCCAGAATCTCATGATTCTGGCGTTGCTTTTGAGAATCAATATAGCAAACCATTGCGAGTGACACCGCCGGCGCCACCTCCAGCTCCGCCACCGCCACCTATAATTGAAGAAGAACATCGGCCATTGCCTCCTGGATGGGAGAAGCATCAAGGTAATTTTTTTCATATGCATTTCCATAGTGTGGACGTTTATATAGCTAAATCCCGAAGAACATTTATGCAATTTACATTATCTCTGATTGACGACTAAAAACAAACCTCTAGGGAATGAGGTCGTCAAATCTTTTTTTTCCTTCTGTGATTGTTGATCCGGCTTTGGAGACAGATTTATCTTCTCGGCGAAAAGTCATCCGTGTTTTTTGTGGCAAATTGGGAACTTGGTCGCTGATGCTTTATTGGGCTTGCTGTAAGGCCTCGCAGTACTCTGTCGGGCATCTGAGCTTCTTTTTCGCTTGACCGCACAGAAATTATCAGAGTTTCTTCTTTATCTTTGTAAAAAGTGGGCGTACTGGAGAATCTTTTTCTCTAGTCGTCATTACCCGTCATGAGCACAGAGGCCACTGCTTCTGTAATTTTTTCTGTTAAATTTTCGGAATGTGTAAACACAACATTCAAAGCGACATTAAAAGCTCAATGCGTTAAGCGCTTTTGAATGATAAATGCAGAATTGCCTTATTCTTATTGCTGCTGACATTGTTATGTTGCTCAAAGTGCGATATTTAGATCCATCTGGGTTCTCCTACTACTGGCACGTTGATAGTGGGACCATTCAGCGCGAACCACCGGTCAGTTTCTCCCGTCCGTCTTTCTTTTTCACATTTTAACACGCGCACTGCCGTATTATGTTTTGCTTTTGCACATTTTTTGTAGAGGATCATCTTTTCTCGACAGAGAAAAATACATGATCTCGCCCAGTTTCATCATCCTCAAGCGCACCTATTTACGTTTTACCGCTCTTACTCCACCTTATGCTACTCTGAAGAATATCCGTGGTACAACTATCCAAATTTCTTGCTCATAGTAGCGATGCTTGATGTAGTTCAACAGCTAAACCCCTATTCGATTAATGGCCGCTATTTTTTGTGCATTTCTTCCCGATTCTTTGTCAAAGTAAAGAAAAGGTGTGCAGGTAAAATAACATTAATTTTTACAACTTTTTTTACAACAGTTGAAATCGGGAGAAGCACGTTAGTTTCACGGTAATGGCTACGACTGTTTATCCACTTTTGATAACTCAAAGCCTATGTTTTCCTATTCGCTTTTGTGATTTTTTGTATCGATACAATTTGTCTGAATCGAATCTTATGTACTATAGCTGAAATCGAATTTTCCTTCTGTGCTTTCTTAGCGCAAGCTTTTCTCCCTTCTTAGCGGCAAATGCATACATCATGACTCAACGCAATAACAAAAACTGCTCGTATAGTTGTAGTGCGTTTCTTTGCTGTAGATTAGGGGAAAGCAGTTTTAGATGTCTAGAGCAACCTCCTTTACCCATTTACGCGCTCATATAGGCTAGCTGTAGTGAGCTTATGAAAGCCGAGCGTTTTCAAATTCCACACGTTTACAAGCACGTATGGTAAGCACCTTGTTATATCTAGAATATGCTCCCAGCTTGTAGTGTGTTCCCATGCTTTTGCTAGTCACTAATGCTTCTGATAATGAGTGTTGTAGCGTGCTCAGACACCACCACGCAGTCCATCACCTCCACCACCCGTTTATTCTAGGACAACTCACGTGAGTAAAGCTACTAATTTTTGGCTAATTCAAAGACGCCTGCCTTTTTTTCTCAAAAATTCAACACCTTCTGATAGCCCTCCCTTACCCATCACTCTTCACTGAATTTTCTTTTTTGTTTTCTACCTTTTTGTCGATTCTGTGAGTACTAGGTATGCACTTCAGAGTCGTGAAACCCAAGCTGACGCTCCGCCGCCTCCACAGGTAAGCTCTCAATCTCAAGCCTTCGCCATAGTGCTCCGGTTTTCCGTTGTTTACCTAGCGATTATCTAGGTGATCCAACTTCCACCACAACAACCAGTTATCGAGGAGCATGCGTTCAAACAAAGCACAACTAAACGTCGTATCGATAATGAGCAGGAAAGTGACGGGGAAGAGTATGGATATAGAAAGGTTGGGTGCAAATTTTTTGGACTCAAAGTTTTAACGTAGTAGATGTCAGACGACTTTATTTTGTTGTTTACAAAAACTTTTTTGGCTATAATTTACCTTTCTGCTCGCAACCTTTTGAAGCAACATTCCTCTTATGTTTTGTTCGCTCCTCCATTTTATGGAGTGCTTTATTGACAGACTCGGAATTGCATATATTATACCAGCCATTATTCTCCCTCGTTTTTCTTATAACTCAAGAAAGCCATACCAAGACATCGACTGTCTTGAAGGATTACGGTATTTGGTCAAAGTAATCTTAGGAATCTTTGCGGGACATTAATCCATTGCTGTCACCCTTCTACTGCTCCGTGCTGCAGCATTGGCTTTTGCTGGCAATTCTTCTATCCGCTTTGCTCATGTATACGAGACGAAGTCATAAAGTAGGATTAAGTCGGTGTAAGTGTCAGACAGCTACTTCCGTACTCACGGACTCTTCATTTCGGCAACAAAAGTGATGCATTGCGGATTATTTCCCGTGTTCGATAGATGTCCGCTATGTACATGTAGATGCTCTATCAACTCTTCAGTCATTTCACCGCTAGGCTTCCTTTCTGATAACCCTTTAGTTTAGAGATTAAGCTGCCAGTCAGTCTAGAGATGTTGTTCATATAATGAGGCTGTAAGTAGCACTCATTATTTCGTTAAACACATAATTTCAAACTGAATTTATGATAGAGGAAAAATCTAGTTTGCGTTTACATAGTTCCACATGCGAAATTGTGCCATGTTCCACATAACTTCATTAGTATCGACGAAATGACTTTCGGATGGTTGCAGAATTTCGTTCTATCTATGGCTGCGTTTTAAATTGCATTTTGAGACATTGGCTTGGCTTGTTTTATTGTTTCATAACCTTTCCATTTCGCTTTTGGCTGTCTTAGCATCGAGGCTGCTTCGCGAATAACGCTCTCAGCTCTCGTTTTTCCTTCGTTGACATAGCTCGAAGCATATCATCAAGCTTTAAAATAACTTCCCAACTTTGTAAAAGAAGCAAAAAACTGATTACTCAAATTCATATCCGTAAAGGTCGGAGCTCTGTGTTTTCGCATACCTTGCTACTCTTTGGTGGCTTGAAAGATGCTCGTTTATATGGAGATAAAGCGCCGCTGCGAAATTATAAAAGTCAAGGGATATTTTACGAAACTCCCTACTATCGGCTCCCAAGTGGTCGTTTTGGTACCACACTAAAACCAGAAGAAAGGCCATTTTTTGACTCATGTATTTCATGAGAAAAAGCTTCAAAAAAAAAAACGGAAAATGTAGGCAAAAAGAACGATCTGGTGTTAAAGGCAGCGTCCAGGCAGATCTAGACCTATGGGGCTTTTACTTGGAAAGTACTTTCGGGGCCCTAAGTAAGGCACTGCCCAAGCGGCAGCTCGGGTAGTGCTCTAATGGCTGAGATATTCCCCTCGAAACCGGCCCCCGCGAACGTATTCGCATGGATTCATGGCAGTTTCGCGTCAGGATCCATGCTTTGCGCCATGAATCCATGCGAAACACGGTCGCGGGGTCCAGTTTCGAGGGGAATATCTCAGCCATTACAGCAGTCCAGATCTGCCCGGACGCTGCCTCTAATCGAAGTTGGACTTGTGTATACCGTTAGGCGTCAAGGTCTAGTATCTCCTTTACCACAACATCCCCAAAAAATGTGTTCATGTGGGACTTGTGGGTATCACAGTTAGACCGCTTGCTATAATTTACGGTAAAGATTTAGAGGTCCAGACGATTAGCTCTAATTTCTTCCACTGCGGGTACAAGTGAACCCTTTTGAGAACATCATTCGAAAATTTGCTTTTGGTGCTCGAAAAGGTTTAGCTGTAAATGGAAACTGAAAGTTCTTTTGAAGTGTAAATTCCCAGGGTTTGAAAGCTTGGCATTTGAGTTTCGGGCATGAGTTTTCTCTTGTTTATATGAGAGTCTCTGTAAAAAAAATTATGCAGCCATTTGCGTATAACATGACTTTTATGAAAGTCTAAAGTGGGCTATGTCCTTTAGTATATTTGCTTCTTACATTGAAAGGCAAGGTGAAAAGTTCATTGACAATCTGCTAGATGGATTCTCACGCCAGTTTATTTTACGCATGCTCTGATGCCCTCTATCTTCGCAACATTCTCTGAGGCTTTATTTAATTTTATCAGCGTGCTTTAAATAAAAATAGGAACATAGAGTTCTTGCAGTCTCATTTATTCGCATTGTGGTGTTGTATAATAGAGGATATTCATCTCAGGTGCATTACTTTCATGGTATAGCACGCTATGACAGTTTATCCAACATATGGCATACGTATGTTTGGAAGAAGATACAAAATACGAAACCTCCGTCTTATTCCTACGCATTGCACTCCTCAAAACAACCACAAAAGTCTTTGCATTCGTAGAACATCGCCGCTGTATGCCCCATTTTTTCAGATACAACAATATAAACGCATAGGTTACTGCACGAGTTTGGCTTAACGTTCTTATGGTGAATCGTTGAGGTAGAGGACCTTTTTCTAAAGTGAACAGCTTGGCCATTTCAAATGATATTTTGGCAGGGCCCGGCATAAGTTCGTTTCTAGGTTTCTTGAAATCCACCTTGATTTTCGTGAAATTTTACGAAGTTCCCTTTGACTTACCCTTAACGTAAAGAAACCCTCAAAAAACGAAACGTCGACTAAAAAACGTCGCAATTTTTGGCCCCAAAAGCGATATCGCCTTTGTTTTTTCGCCCCAGAAACGAAGTGAGCTTGCCATACGACCTGCGCCGGGCTCTGGATTTGGAGCATTTTATTGGAACTAGCACATTGTGTTTTCTAAGTTGTAAAAGAATTGTTCAGAGCATGTAAGCGAACTGAGTGCATAAAATATCTTGAATCAGTAAGCCTTTAACTTTATGAATATCTTCTATCAAAAAGTGGTTTTGCTGAGTCATCCATGGTAGTCATTCAAATGATGTATGTTATAGAGCAAAAGGAGTGTTCTCACATAGTGTGGGATTGAATGCTTGCTTGAAATGTCGCGCAATCGAGCTAAGCTCGGACCTATAATCTATCAGAACGTATACGAATTGAATTCCCTTTGAACATTAGTCATATCCTGAAAGGTGGTGTTTCCTGCTGATTGTACGTAGTCATAAATGTAATTGAATTGGCTCTTCTAACTCCAAGCAGTCAGAATATGGAGTGATGAAACCACATTCTTTTTGTCTCCGTTTTGGTCTCGATTCCTGTGCTTAGCCGTTGCATATCAAAAATCATACACATTTTTCATTTTTCCGGATGCTTCAATGTTTTCTGCACTTCCCAAGCGAATATTCTGTCCGTCATCTGTAATTTTAGTGTACAAAAAGTCCTCAGTTGAGGAAATGAAGCCCAAAAGGATTGGGTTTCTAAACTTAATCTGTACCTAATATCCGTGTGATTTCTGCATAAATCCTTATTCCCATCCAGTAATGGGTGCTACAACGCTCGCTGGTCTGATTTTGTATATTAGACCAGCGCTAATGGTGAGGTTTAGTTATTTGTAGAAAATTTGCTTCATACAGAAAATAAGACGTTAGTGTTTTTGATTTTGGCAGCTAAATTTGTTTTTCCTGCTCCCTGCAATTACGTACCTACTCCGAGCTAATTTAGCCAATTCGATTCGCCGTTCGTTCACTTGGTTGGACAGAGATCCCTGAAGAAGATTTGACCGCAGAGAGAAGCTCTCGAGCTGTCAATAGGTGAGTACTGTATAGAATATTTATACTTCTTTTTCTTATTTTTCTTATAACTATAAATTTTTTAGAGCTATCGTAGACCTTTCGACTGGTCGCAATGATGTTATGGATAATGTGAGCAAATGGGGTGATGTAAGTGCACTTTTAAACACATTTTTATTTTTGTTTATCTAAACATTTTTTCGAAAATTTCTTCATAATCTCTGTAGAACTGAAGAAAAGATTATTCTTTAATTCCAATTTGGAGCAGCATTTTAGGGACGCGAGCTGATTATGGAACTTGACGACAATGAGTTGACTCTGATTGATCCAGACACCATGACAGTCGTACATTCCGAGAAAATTCCACAAATTCGTGTTTGGGGTGTAGGAAGAGACAACGGAAGGTTAGTCAATATATCGCATTATAGAAGCTGCTGGTTGTGTTTCCGGCTATGCTATGCGGGGCGGGGTCGTGTTTCGTTGTGAGCCTTGGAAATTCAATTACATTGGCAGCGCCGCTCATCTTCCTTCCATTTTCATGCTTTCACTTTCCATAGTCGCTTAATCATTGTTTTTGCCTGCTATCTAGGGTCAGCTGGTAAATTCTCAGCCATTTTCTGACTGCGTATAGTTTTGTTTTCATGTATTTCAAATGTTTGGTGTAATCTCTGTACTTTTCATTGACTCTTCAGGGATCGGTGAGTTTACTAATTTAGCGTACTTAGAATTAGATGTTTCAAGTGTTGTGGTGTGTATGCATTATGAGGTGGCAGCATGGCCTGCTAGCTGTGATAACGCTGATCATTTGCTTGAGCCTTTTGTATTAATGCAGAAGCAGTGTTCAGGCACTGAGTACTTGGGTTCTCATGTGAGAAATGATTAAGTTTTAACACATTGGCGACCGCATAAACCGCAACCGCACCATGTGTGTCAAGCAATGACACCGTGCGACCGCTTGACACACATAGTGTGCGAGGTTTAAATTTTAGTAGTATGACGACTTTTCCGGGAGAAACTCACTCAGGAGTTCTCTCTTGCGCGAAATCAGCTCTATCTGTTTTGCCAATCTTACGAGCTGCTTGCTGTTGATATATGTATATGCCAGTATGCGTGATATTATTTTTGAAAATGTTGACTGATTCGGCTGACAGGCCTTGGTCCCAAAAGGCAGACAACTCAAAATCTGCAGGTCATCAATGTGTTAACTAAGGCGTTGGTCTAGCGACAGCTGATCTGATTCATTTCTCGCCGAGAAATTCAAATTTAAATCTCGCCCAGAACGTACTCTTCTTAGGCGGACCAAACACCACTCTCACTCATACCGTGTTCTGCCAGCGGACCAATAAGTGGTAGCAAATGAGTGTTGCTTATTTGTCCTTTCTGAAAGAATACGCTATAGGCAAGAGTTTGTAGCCAACCTTTGCCAATGAATTATATGAGCTGCCGTTTAGGCAATTCCCAGGTGAATCTGGGAATATTTACCTGGGTGATCGGACCCTTCATATGAGAGTTTCGCAAATTTGAAACGCTGCAGCTACTTGCTATTTGAACTGTAATTAATTTGCTCTTGTCGGTCATTCGAAGCAAAAGGGTATAAACCACGATTAGATTGTGTAGCTTTTGTGAGACGTTTTGTTGTGCATGTCATCTGAAGATGCTAAAAACCTATTAGTGTCCTTATTCAGGGATTTCGCCTATGTCGCCCGTGATCGCAACACTCGTCGATTTATGTGCCATGTGTTCCGATGTGACACACCAGCAAAGACAATCGCGAACACACTAAGAGATATCTGTAAACGACTAATGATGCATCGAAGACCAACAAGTTTGCATGCTATCGATGCTATACCGGAAAGACGGGTAATTCGAAGTGAGTTTGCTTTATGTGGTTATTTGCAGGTATTTTGGCGTATAATTAGTGCGCTTCCATTTCAGCAGATGGTTTGCCGACACCTAATGAGGAGCCAAAGAAGATCATTAGGTGTCATTTCTTAGGTGTAACTCAAGTGCCACGTGCTACTGGTATCGAAATTTTGAACGAGGCTGTCGATAGGCTTGTGTCCCAAGTATGTTGATTCTTGCTTGGAGTTTGAGTATTGTAGTTTGTCGTATTTGAATTGTTTTCTAACTTCTAAAGGCCACTTTTCGTGTCTGCGCTCAGCTGTATCACAAGTTCTTGAGTTCAAACCTTAGCTTTGGTAGCCTCTTCGAACATCAGATTGCATCACTGTATTGCTATTATTTCATTGATGAATCATTAATTACGCTTCAACTGCTATGAAGAATTCCCTCTGATAACCTTGGGAATCTAGATTTTAACTTTAGGTCCGACCAGATCGCTGGATCCTCGCTGACGTAGCAATCGCTCCGTCGACAATTACCATATCAGAAGTAGGAGGAGGACAAATTGCGCAATGTCGTGTTCGATATCTTTCCTTCCTTGGCATTGGACGAGATGTCAAGTGAGTTTTCCCCGTAATTGCTATGCTTTCCGGCATCTTATCCATATAATTCAGGCACTGTGCATTCATCATGCACACCTCGTCAGAGAACTTCATGTGTTACGTCTTCCACGTAGAGCCGTCTGCCGCTGCCATGGCAAAGACAATTGAAGCCGCGTGCAAACTACGTTATCAGAAAGTGCTAGATGCCCATGCACGAGCGCCATCGCATCTGAATCATCACCACGAAACTCCGTCAATCGGCAAGGTTTCCAGAATTTTCTCTATCGCCTCTATTCTTACTTTCTGTGTGCATACTAACTATTTGGTTTGGGTGGCTTGAATGGGAATGGGGAGTAATAGCGTTTGAGCGGTTCTTACATGTAATTTCAGTATAACAAACTCTATCACCGAGGCTTCAGTTTTCGTGTTTTCTCAAGATTTTTCTGTTCCATGCAAAAAAAAACATAAAAATCTCACTTGTCAAAATCAAATGAAATTTTGAGGAGCCTTATCTTTTGGTGAATAGACCGGCACCCAGTTAGTTGGTTCAGTAGCATTTTTTTTTCTGGAGAAGGTATATATATATATATCTGCATGCCGGACCAAAAAATTGGTCAAGGACGTTGCTAACCATGTCGGGTGTGCCTCATATGGCGCATTGACAAAAAGTGCGGCTTATATCAACACGACCAGGGTTCGATCCCGCCGATGATGACAAAACCCCATGTCCTGAAGCAAACTCATGCTAGCAAGATTAGTCTTTCAGAGGCAGCGAAAGTTTTAGATATTGATTGCATGACATGCAGTTCGATTCATTGATTTATGGGGGAAGGGGGGGGGGGGTGCGGCAGTTTGGAATGTTTTGAGTCGTGCATGAGTAGCACCCATTAGTAAACTGTTATTTTGATCTCATGGTTCATTTGTAGGGATGGACCGAATCACTGCGTGATGTGTTTGGGTCGGTAACTCAACGAATCGTACCATCACGATCACTCCAAAGCATATGAGAAACAATTATCGATTTATCGATTGTTTTACCTAATGTTTCTTACAAGCTGCATCTTTTCCTGCATTTTCCTATTTCATCTACAGTTTCGTAAAGTGTTAATCAGTGACGATGTCATGGATTTTGATTATCAAGAGGTTTCGGAATAATTTTCTCTTTTCCTTGTTTTTGTTTACTTCCTCTAATCAAGGTACTCTCTTCACTTTTCTTCTTGAATTTCGACTCTTTTTCTGACCTTTGTATGTAAACAATTTTGTTTCCGCTTTATAATACATCCAAAGCCTTTCGACTGACAGTGTAACTAGTCATTGTATCGAAGAATTCATTATTTGTTGATGAGTAGGAAATCTTGTCTGAACTGTATATTCCATTGCCGCTCATTACAAAATGCCTTACAAACTGATTTATGTTAGGGTTGATTAGTTTCGAGAGACAGCTCCCTTCTTGTAGCTTTGAATGCATCTTGAACAGCCAAAGTTTTGTCATAATAGTCTATGCTTCTTATATTTACATGATCAGTGTTGGAAAATGAAGAACTTTTTTTGATGTTTTGTTCTTTTCATGTAAGTTCAAGCAGAAATAAGGCACTTTAGGAATATGTTCATCGAAGACTGTACAGCACATGATGAGGTTTTTTTCCTTAAAAAAAGGTACTGCTGAAATTGACGCCTCAAAAATTTGCATTTTCTAAGGTCATTATAGTTTATACAGTCGAGTAGATTTCCTGCTTAATATAGTGTCCCTGCAGACGCGACAACGCTGGGGCGTCAATAATTGCCTTGCGAGTTTCCGAGTGAAGGTTTTCTAGTGTTTTCTTATCTTATTCTTATTCTTTTTAGGTAAATCGTCACTGATAAAGGAGAAGAGGGTAGGTTAGAGGATAAAGTCTGTTTTCTGAGTAGCTATTTCATCGCTTAATCTCAGATATCCATGTAGAAGCTGATCGCATCAGTTTCATACGCATTCTTGTCACTTCAAGTCTCTTTCTTCTTGTGAAGTACTTCCTTGAACGCTAGTAGGTTTTTACGATTGACTTATTGTCTTTATCACACGAAGTTCTCGCTCTAATGATATTACTTATGGGTGAAAGCCGAAGTTGTTACAAGACAAGCCAACTAGCGTTCAAAGAAACGTTTCACAAGGAGAAAGAGGGTTAAATTGACAAAAGAAAAGGAAATGACACAAAAAATAGGCGTAAAACTGACGTGAACTGCTTCTACGTAGATATCTGTGAATATGCGATGATGAAACTTCTCAGAAAACGGAAACTACTACCTAACTTACCCTTTTCCTCTTTATCAGCAACGAAATACCTGAAAAGCAAAGGATAAGCAAAGAAAACAGTGGAAAACATTCGTTCGGGAACTCGCAAGGCAATTATTGACGCCCCAGCGTTGTCGCGTCTGCAGGGACACTATATTAAGCAGGAAATCTACTCGACTGTAACTGAAAGGGGTAAATATTCGGCAAATCAGTGATGAAAGAAAACTCAGGACAATTTTTATTACAAAGCATTTGTATAGTACTATACACTTTCCGGTTCTAGGGCCAAGTGCGAAACAGAAGTAGCTCTCTTAGTGCCCCTCACTAATAGTTCCCAAAAGCAGAAGGAAAGAACAATGGAATTGAAACTTCCAAACAAAGTGTGCAGAATAAACGGAGTTACAATTAACCCATTGACGACGACGCCTAATTTTGCGTGGCGGCGCTGTGGGACGACGCGATATTGCACAACACTTTCGGCATGGGAAAGTTTTGTATTAGGTTGTCCGGAAATTAATGCCCGTTTTGAATTTCAACCGCAAAAAGTCATACACTCTTTTTTCTAAATCAAAGTACCATTCGATGGAGCAAAGCAAGCTCTACAAGATGGCCATCTTGCTTTTGCAACAGCTCTCATCCATCTCGAGTTTCGAGCCAAAAACTAGAAAGACTCAGCAGCCCGAAAAATTGGAAAAAAATCGTAACTCAGTTTATAAAAATCCTACAAAAATTCTAATTTGCTCACGTAAACCCTATCCAAATAAGACATCAATATACGCCGTTGCCGTATTTTTTTTCTATTAGAAACCAAGAAAACGGAAATTTTCATGCATTTGCCAAAGTGATGCTGTGCCGTCCCCACATGGGTAGTTGTACACCACAAGCCTGTAGAAGTACAGACTTAAATTTTCAGCTCTCTACAAGCTTTAGTTCTCGAGAAATTTGAATTTTAGCTTGACCACCTAACTAGGGGATGCTATATTCGGTATTTTCTCGAGAAATAAAGCTTGTAGAGAGCTGGAATTTTAAGTCTGTACTTCTACAGGCTTGTGGTATACAACTACCTATGTGGGGACGGCACAGCATCACTTTGGCAAATGCATGAAAATTTCCGTTTTCTTGGTTTCTAACAGAGAAAAAAATACGGCAACGGCGTATATTGATGTCTTATGTGGATAGTGTTTGCGTGAACAAGTTAGAATTTTTGTAAGATTTTTATGAACTAAGTTACGATTTTTTTCGATTTTTCGGGCTGCCGAGTCTTTTTAGTTTTTGGCTCAAAACTCGAGATGGATGAGAGCTGTTGCAAAAGAATGATGACTTTCTTGTAGAGCTTGCTTTGCTCTATCGAATGGTACTTTGCAACCTATTTAGAGGTGAGAAGTGTATGCCTTAGTGCGGTTGAAATTTGAAACGGGCATTAATTTCCGGACAACCTAATAGTTATTCACGAGATGTAAAGTTGTTTTGTGAACAACTACAATAATCTTCATGGACGACGAAGTCCACATGTTACAAGAATGCAAAAAATTAGAAGAAATACTGAATTATGGAAGAAATACTAGACCTGGAAAGCATATGAGTTTGTAAGGGCTGTGGGCCACCGGTGGTCCACATCGTCCCTGGCAGCAAAAAGTGCGTGGGCCACCGGTGGTCCACATCGTCGTCAATGGGTTAAGACAAGCGATGCATGAGAACAACGAAAGGAGATCCGGTACGCGGCAAACGTTGAGGGATACGTTAGCCGTGGAGCGCGCCAGCGCAATCATTAGCCGTAGTTGGCAAGACAGCTAAAGTTGGCCGGGGGAGGGGGGGGGGTTTCAGGTGTACCTCGAAGGGATTTCCCCATGTAGATTTTTGCCTGATCCGGAGGGAAAAAACAAAAACGAGCATTTGTTCCAAAGTTGTCTTTCTATGGAAAAATGTTGAGAAGCCAGATGCAATCGAGTGACTCTCTCAATGTACTTACTACGTTGCTTTTGCTGTTGTTGTTTGCGTTCTGTAGTTGTTCCTTGCTAGTTATTTGTATGGTATCCTGATGTAATAACATAATAGAATATCTTGCCGTTAACATTTCCTTGTAATGAGCTGGCTGGCTATCTGCTGTATAAAACTGATCACCCACTAGTATTAGTAGAAGACTCTTCAAATAAAAAAGTAGCACCCAATTTTGCTCGGAATTCAGCAGAGCACATGATGACTGCCCACAAAGGGATAGATACGGCTTGCAAATTCATAGTTAGGAGAATATTTCGACACTGGCACTAAAAATAGAATTCCTATGCGTTTCTGTAAAGTTTCGAAAGTTTAGCAGTTCTACACTCAAGGATGAACGGACTAAGGGTTATTATGTTCAACAAAACACTAGCAATTTATGCGAAAAGTCAATACAGATATTTAGATTTCTTCAAATGGCAGACAATCCCCAAACGAGCTGGTTTCGTTTGAACAGCTAGACTTCACCCAAATCGACATTGAATTCAACTCTTTCAAGATAAAGGTTTAACAAAATATTTCTCGCAAGGAGAGAGTGTCAAGCGTGGCTTCTGTACCACAGAAACAGAACACAAGACAAAATACTTCAGAACCGATACAGTGTCACACTCATTTCGTCAGCGGAACTATCAGTGGCGGTAGGTTGAATGAAAGCTCCACTCTTACCAAAATTTCGTGAAACCTACTTGCCTTATGCGGCCAATACAAAAACACTATCACGATTAATCCTGTATATGAGGGGAATTGATCTTGAGGATTCAATTCAGTCTGTCAAGTCACTGGCACAAACTTTGTTTGTGCGTTACCAGCGTCAAAATCTGTATGAATAGGCAAAATCTTCTAACTTCTAGCAACACTTCCTGCATACGTCCGAACGATACTTAATTCTGCATTAATCATCAACTGCAAAATTTCAGCATCAGTATTAGGAAGCAAACACGAAAGTTTTTAAGGCAACATTCCTATGGTATCTACTTCCGCATACTGATTAAAGGTGTACTTGAAGTTCAACAGAAAAAGCAGTTTGAAAGAGAGCGCATGCTCACAAAATTCAAGAGATTTTTCAAGTCAGCGGAACTGTTGAAAATGATAAACATTGCAACCATCTGTTGCACGCATCGAAAATGCAAACCCAACATCTCACTAGATTGAGCAAAAAAGATGAAAGATCTTCGAAGCACTTGCCTTCCATAAATGAAATCAAAAGTTATCACGCACGAATTTGGCTTAAAAATGACGAAAATGAGATTTTATCGACCAAGAAACATCAAAACGATGTTAGAGAAAAAAAACATGTGAAAACTGGGCCAACTTTAGTGTCTTGCCAACTACAGCCAATGATTGCGCTTTCGCGCTGCACGGCTAACGTATCCCTCATCGTTTGCCGCGTACGGGATCTCCAACGAAAGCGGCAGACGAGTGGCAGTTTAATTAATTGCAACCTCATGTTAGAATCGGTGTCCGATGTGACCTCAGAGCGCATAAACCCTGGCCTACGAGCTGCGATTTCATTGCCCCTGTTTCGTCGCCGGGGAATTTCATTATCAGAGCAACGAGATCGCGACTATCACATCGCTGGTCGCGGGTTTTGGACATACCTACCTACCGTTCAGCGATAAAATGAAAACGCACATAGCACTCGTTTTACGTTTTTTTTGGCATCCAAAAGGAGTAATCAGCGCTTTCTTTACGTTTGCAGATTGCTTTGTCTTTTTTTGACACCGCACAATTAACATCAACAATTCCAACTAGCTTCTCGCGCATTTGGCATCTATCGTTCAACTTTTCCCATTGGATGCAGGAGGCGAAGCCAGTTTTATCGAGTTTTAGCTGCGGTTTCATTACGTTGATAATTTTTATATTCGGATATCAAGATTATTTTTAGCTTTTTACCTTTTTATTTATTTTTAGCGTTCAAATCAAGTTGGTCGTAGTGATTATAATGTAGAAAAGACTCTTTGCGCTTGAAGCTTGTGAAGATTTCTACGACCTTCAAATCGCTTCCAATCACGTTTACAGCACACGTTGTGCCCTATTTGTTCTGGTGATATCTGGGCTAAAGCAACCTTCTCTTTTTAATAATGAAGTTTTTGGCACGAAAAAACAACAAATACAATCATCAATGGGCGTATAATTGAGCACAAGCGACTACAGACAATAGATGTACATATCAATACACATCGCGTTGTCTTACTGGAGTTGTCCTAGGACTAAGAATCTTACAAATCGAGGTTTTTGGGAGACCACCTAGCGGATTGGCAAGCAAAGCACATCCGCCAAGCGATATTGAGACAACACTGCTGAACCTAAAGCTCCAAAGCTCCAAAGAAGTCGAGTAGGTATAGTCTTATATAACAACCACATTCAACCTAATTTTGCATAGTGTTGGCCTGTAACGTTTTGGAGAAACAATGCAATAAGAGAAAAGTGAACTCGATGGATATTTCTATAAGGATACTGGGATGAAAGACCCCTTAAATATTACATTTGGAAAGAAAACATTCTCATCCATCAGCCCAACCCGTGAACCGGAAAACATACTTCTCCGGTTTTCTGCTCATGCCTCTCACGAAGTGAGGTGTCCTCGTCATTGCCAACATTTTCACGTAATGAATAGCTCGGTGAAACAGCACAAATCGCTCTTCTAGTGCTGAATTGTGGATGATCAGTGGACGTGCATAGCGCCATGTGCTGTTTCTAAAATATGTGAGTAGAAAATGATGAGGCTGAGTTATATTTGAGCTCTTCTATACGCTGATTACCTTGGATGACAGCGGTGGATTTCAATCTTACCAGCAAGCTGCCCATACCAAGAGTAGGTGTGAGTCATGTCGGATCTGTAATTGTTGCTGAGAAAGAATCAAGAAAGATAGTTTCGAATCATTTTACTTTTGCATTGCAATCGGGGAAACTTCCTCAACCTACACATTCTAGAAACAAAAATCATTTTGTATCAACTGCAGCAACAAATGCTTTCGCCCCGCTTTCGAAACTTACAAGGGATGGTCATGAAGTCGAAGGGATCGTTCACATCGCGCCGGTACCCGTCCAAATCCGCCCGAATACGTCCGAATCCGCCCGAATACGTCCAAATCCGCCCAAATACGTCCAAACCCGCCCAAATACGTCCGAATACGCCTGAACCCGCCCGAACGCCGGAACTGCCAAGCGCAGCGGGTATGCGGCAAATTGGCATATTGGAGCACGCGCAGAATACTGCGTGCCTCGTGCATATAACTTAGTCACACGTAGCTCGACGTTACATACTGATCTTTTGCAACTACTCCGATTTCACAAGGATCAATCCCATGCGTGCTCCAATATGTCAATTTGCCGCATAGCCGCTGCGCTTTGGCAGTTCCGGCGTTCAGGCGGGTTCGGGCGGATTCGGACGTATTCGGGCGGGTTTGGACGGGTACCGGCGCGGTCTGAACGATCCCGAAGTGGCCGCTTACTATACCGTATATTATTAGTGAGAGCTTAAAGAGGTGATTCCAAATCTGTTCTACGTATCTGCAGAGCGCTTCTTTGAAAGAAGTTACGAGCATTCTTTGGAGTGAAAAATGAACTAATGGCAGTGATAAAATCAAACATCACAGCCTCCTAGTTTTTAAATGAAGGAGCAGCAAGTACCAGAATACTTCATACAATATCTGCCTAACATAACGGTACTTCCTGATTCTCCATTTGATATTTATGGAGGCTGTGACGATAGGTTTTATCGCTGCTAATAGTTCATTTTTTGGCTCAAAAAATGCTCATAATTTCTTTTACAGAAACGCTCTGCAGTTATGGAGAGCAGATTTGGAACCAGCTTTCCAAGCTCTCACTGAAGGTAAACAGATGTAGTGATCGGCCACTTCGCCTTCGCGATCCTCCCTTGTTAGTCGCACAGAGCCTACCAAGAAAAATGCTTCAAAAACGATGCGTCTGTTCAAACACAGTCGTAGAGAGTCAGCTAATTTTTGGGTGGTCAGCCTTGCGCAATGTCTACATATTGCCAATGTTACTTAAGAGGTTTGAAACACTTGTTCATTTCGCACTATGTGCTTAAATAGACAGCAGACATCGATAGCGTTAGTAATCTGCGATCCTCCTGTTCCAAAGTGACAGGATCTTATCAGAATCTGGTTCCGGCGATCTTACAAGGGAATGGTCAGAAGTCGAGGCGGCCAACCAAACAAGCTGTATATCATTCAATGCAATATAAAACGCTGACTTCGAATCTGTTCTCCTTATCTGCTTATCACTTCTTTGGACGAAGCTGCAAGCTGTTTTATTGTGAAAAAATCGTACATAATAACTGTGAAATTGAGCATATTGTTTCAATTTCAGCTCACCTTTAGGCTTTGAGAATTTGAAGTGAGTTAGCTGCATATTTTGACCCAGCATTAAGCCGAGCCTGGCTTTGTGCGACCAAATTTTTACTTTCACGCAAAATTTCTTAGCAAAATATTGGCCTTTAATGGCTTATAGCTTCGTCCAGAAAAACGATAAGCAGATAAAGAAAACAGATTTAGGGTCAGCGCTTTGAGCGGCATTTAACGGCATGCAATCTGTCTGGATTAGCCACTTCGATATTATCTGACCATTCCCTTGTAGCAAGTAGCAAACCGCCTCGATCCTGTGGCCGTATTCATCAACGAACCTTGAGGTTAAAATCTACCTTGAGAACATGCCTCAAGGTAGAATTCAACCTCAAGGTAACTTTGCTATTCACAAATCTACCTTAAGGTTAAAATCTACCTGGTGGTTAGCTGAATGCTCACTGACGCTTTTCAGAGCATGCCATGACGTATTAGCGGTGTATGAGTCCCTCGCCGTTTGTGAATCTTTTAATTGTCAAATTAGTGCAAACTTACATACAATAGGTCCAATTTCCGTGTTTTAACAAAAAAAGCATTCTAAGAGACCCGTCGTACTTCACTCAAAAGCGCCCAAAAGCGCCCAAGAGCGCGGTAAAGCGCCAGAAAGCCCAGCGCTTCCATTCGGGTGCGTAGTTCCTAGGAACCACTCATACTACGCCCAACAGCTCTCAAAGCGCTCAAAAACGCCGAAGCGCCAGAATGCTTCCTTTACGAGCGTGACTTTGCGCTGAAGCGTTAGTTTTGGAAATATGTATACCAGAACAACTACATTCAGTCACATTTATAATGAAACAAGTTCCGATTACATTCAAGTCGGCCCAAGCTTCACCATAAAAGTGTTCTTGCTTTGTAAACACAAGCCAACGCTATTTGCATGACTTTCATTTTCTAAGTTAGTAATCACGTGAGTGAGTGTGACACGTTCTTATGAAACTAGGAAATCATCTTCATAATTGAGCGTGTCAACTGAGTTTTATTAGATACAAGTCTACGGTTCTTGACTATTAGAGTGTGAGTAGATTTGAATTTGAGCTGCACTATATAATACCACCGTATTCATTGAACGGGAAGCATAACATGAGACACTTTCTCGTCTAGTTTAGTGTTTAGGGAAGATACTGCAAGTGTGATTGAGCGATTCAAATTTTAAGAATTATATCATCATCACATTATCTAGGAGAAAAACAATGTGTTGGTATGATATATCTCTCAAATTACAATTTTTGGGATTGCATATTTGCAATCCAGTCAATCTAAACAGTAACTTCCATGTTTCCTCCTTTCTTAATCTCGGCATAGTTAGTTGTAATGTGGTGAGTAGTTAGTATGCCAGCACGAGGTTAGTAGATTTATTGTTAGTAGTGGCGGCCTAACGTTTCGAAGATTTCGAAAGAAGACGAAATCGTCGAAACGTTAAACCTACTACTAACAATAAATCTACTAACCTCGTGCTGGCATACTAACTACTCACCACATTAAATCTCAACAGTATCTTTATCAAACTTTATAATAGGATGAATACTGCATTGATTTAGTTCTAGCTGCGACCGAGATTGGCGATTATCTATTTAGACTAAAGTTTCGGCAATAAGGGCAAAAGCAATTTGAAAACTACCCGATCAGGCATCTCCTCAATCCTACAAGCAGAATTCCTTGTTTTTCTTAAATCATAAGCAGTTTGCTACACGCAGTACTCACATTTCTTTTGCGGGTAAGGTTCTGGGAGATCGCTTAGTGACCGCTTGAAAAGGAATCCATGTTTTCACAGTAGGAGATCTGATCCAGATATAGCGCGAGTCTTTGCGTAACATGGAGACATTCTTTTTTGAGAATCATCTTGGAGCTTCTAAAATAAATACAAAAGGCTTTTAGAGTTTGCTAAGTGGATGTTTGAGCTCTGCGCGCTAGGCAAGTTTCACACCAAAAGCAACTCCTTAATGATCTTGCACTCTGTGGGCACCCAATGGAGCGGATGTAGGTGATCTATCCTGCCTTTAAGAGGTTACACTAAAACGTAAAGAGCGTGCCGTTTCTGCCATATACATAATTGCACAGTTTAGAGCTTTTCTGACTTAAAGCTTAGAACTCAAAAAGGCAAAGTATAATTGTTATGAATCTGTGATGACGGCCACAAGTTGCAAAGATTTTTGAGGAGGAGCTCGCTTGCATTACAAATTACCGATGCGTACTTGTCATTGACTGGTTCGATGGTTCGCCCACTAATGATCATTGAATAACTTTCGAAAACTTGAAAACCATGACTAGATGAGAAAAAAAGACTAAATAAATAAGCAAAATTCAAGCTATCAAGAGTATAATATATTCGTGTGTGGAAAAACGGTTCCGTTAGAATTAAGAGGTCCTTAAAAAGAGTACAACTATTTTGTGCAAAGTCAAGGTAGATTTTAATTCTAGCTATCCTAGGGTTAGATTTTACCTCGAAAGCATAATAGAAAGTTGATGGAGAAATGATAATTGAGGTAGATTTTAACCCCAAGGTTGAATGATGAATACGGGTTTATGCGTTTGAAGGTTCATTTCTACCTCAAGGTAGACTTAACCCTCGAGAAAATTTCATTGCGATCATGTTGTGAATACGGGTTATAAACTAAAATGCTAGCTGAGGTAACTTTTAACCTCAAGGGTTCGTTGATGAATACGGCCACTGGATAACCCGCTACGGGCTAAATCGCACAAAAGTCCCAAAAACCAAGTTGCTTAAAGGTCTCGTAGAAGCGACCGAACGAGCAGTGTCCATCTAACTTAGCTCTCGCCGCAGAGTCAGACACGTCAAGAACGGAGACACGCTTGGAAAGACGCTAGGAGGAAGGAGGACCAACAAATCATCCAGCGTGAGCGGAACACGCCCACGAGCTACTTTGAGGGCAGTTACTCGATGTGAAGAAGGCTGTATAGACTCAAATGGAGTTATTTAACTGCTTAGTAAGGAAGTTTTCAGCGAAATCTGTCAAAATCCAGCCTACCTCACGTTTGATAAAACAGTGTTGTTTGCACTTCGTACATCACGAAGGGACAGCGAATGGAAAAACGGAAAGTAATCTTACACCAAAACCGTCACATTTAGCGCATTTCTGGCAAAATGCTTTCATAACGGTATTGCTTAATTTCTAGAATGACAACGTTAAAGCCACCATCCACTCTAAGTTGGAGGCCTTTGGCTTTTAGCAGCATACGCGATAGTAGGGCCTTCTTCCATCAAGCCAATGCTCAAGTTGCGGCACAAAATTTTGATTCAGAAGCGAGAAAATCGCTCCAGAATAACGAAGAGGCAAGGATCCCGAGCGGACCCCAACCTCTTTCCACTAATGGCCCATCCAATCACCTTTCCGGGAAACTGGCTTGTGGATCCTCCAGAACGGGGATTGTCAAAGTTTTCGTGAATTCTCGACTTCATATTCGGAATTGAGAACATGAGAAGGACCGGAACGACAAAAACATGGAAGTCGAGAATGTGGGCGGACGGTGCCATTGATGCTGGAAAAGTTAAGCGAAGGTCGGGAATAAGTGGGTAAGAATGAAGATCACAATTGATAGCTTCGTCTCACAGACGACTCAGGCGATTTTCACCTCAGCACTCGAGGGACGAAGTTTTACTTGATTGAAATAATGAATTTATTACACAAAACATTTGGAGACCCTGAGTCATGGATCCATGTAGGGCAATTTTGAATTCACGTCGTAATATTCCGCCAATTTGCTTAATAACACAGTGGTCCTTATATCTTAATTTCCCCTTAATAAGTGATTTACAATTTTTTACTTCCGTTAGGTAAGCTGTGCTCTATTGGATACACAATTATAGAAACAAACATATGCGCACATGAATGCTTCACAAACAAGATTGCAATCACATTATGCTCCTCGAAAAATCTGAAGAGAACGCTTGAATAGAACTTACAGTCGCACTATCTTTAGTGGTATGGGATTCAGTCGTAATTTTGGTTTCATGTCGGATAGCATAAAATCTCTAGTAGGGCACCATTTTCCCTTTGTTACGAAACTGTCTCTAGCCCAACTGGTTCCCTGAAAAGTATGTGCGGAATAGAAATTTGCCACATGTTCACATAGGTACATACAGAAAGACAAACACACATTCAGCTTTATATACAAGAAGAAGCACACCTTTTGCAAAATTTTTACTCTACCATTGTACGTAGTTTCTCCTATGATATTTCTCACACATGAAAGCGTGACGAACAAGTCTGCATAATTTCGGGATTTACTCCAGATATGACGGCAGACGGCTACCTCTACCTTACGATCCGGTAGTAGGATTTCGGCGAGTAGAAACTGTAAATCGTCACACTTATGAGAATGAGAAGTTTCAGCCTCATTGCGAGATCGTGTTGTGAGTTAAAGCAGAAGCTGGTTGATACTCACATATAAAGCTCCGCTGTCGCTACCATGAAAACTTTGAGGTAACCGCTTTTCATAGTTTGCCCAATCTAAATAGTGCACTACCGATTACGTCAATAATTCTGCAACTCAACAATCACTTGAAACAGACATTGTGACCAAGCGCACATGAGTTGTTCTTGTATTTTATTGAATGGGTGGAATTTTTAAACAAACTTGAAACCAACGAGCGATTGCAAAATGCCTGTTTATGGGGATGTGATCACGGAGAAAAGAAAACGTAGTTAAGGGTGTTTTGGATTTCATTCCGCACTAACGGTCAAGAAAATCGAGTGTCCATCGCGAGTTTCTTACGAGGTATGAACCAGCCATGAGTTCTATGGCGTGGAAACGTTCATACAAAACGATGTCAACCTTTTCGTCAATGAAGTCTTCGATGCGTCTGTAAACTAAAATGAAGTAGATACTCAAAAGGTTGTATTTGCTGAACTCTTACAATATTTATTACCTTCTTGGGTTCACTACTCCAATATCAGCAATCAGAAATAGTATATAGTCGTATTGTATTAGTATTCGTTTGACTATGCAATGTCGCCGGAACTCGCGCTGAATTAATCTTTTTGATTTTTTTCAACGAATTCGAGTGCGGCAATATATAGTCGTCCTCCCCCCACTAGACACCTAGTGGACTAGTTTGAATTTGAACTAGAGCATGCCGATCGCGGCAGAGCGCGGCACAGTTACATTCATTTCAAGTTCATGGAGTATTATTTTGTGTTTTCTCGTCGTTGCATGGTGATTCTTTTTGGTTTTAGTCACCCTTTCAAATCACAATCGACGAGTTTGTTGTTGATTAAATGTTTCATACTTCTGTGCTCATTTCTTCAGCCCCATTTTCAGGTAAGGTTAGAGTTCTTGAACAAGAAGTTCTATGGAGCAGCACTTCAGGACACTTACCGAAAAGGATTTCACTAGCATACTTTCCAAACATAGTCGTTTCTTCAAACTCAACCTGGAGTCAGAATTGAAACGAGCACAACAGCATGAAATTCCGCTTACAGGCAACACAGTTTTCCATTCTGATTGAAAAAAACTGTTAACATTCAAAAAGTACAATGAAACGTCGGAAAAACACAAAAAATCAGTTTATGATTGAAGTAAGGGCTGCAGGTGGCGCGCTCCGCTGCAACCGGTGTGCTCTGATTCAAATTCAAATTCCTCCACTAGGTGTCTAGTGGGGGGAGGACGACTATACCCTATTTTCCAGCGTATAAGCCGCAATTCTTTTCATCGCGCGCGGGCTGAAGTGCGATTTCGTTCGCGATGCACGAAGCTGCACAAGCACTAATTACCCTAATTTCAAAATACATGACGCACCTTTTTTCACTTCTTCAAGCAAGCAGCTTGGCCAAACCACTGTGCCTTGCGAAATGCTCACTTTCCCTTACAATTCTTTCAGGTAAGGAGCAGGACGGTAGAGGTTCCTCCTTTAGTCGCGAAGCTTTTTGGTGCGTTCATGCTGGTCGAGTTTAGGAAAAAATCGTGTGCGTCCTTTATTGTGAAATCTGGGGTACTATCTATTTCACCTAATAATCTAACACTGGCTTTCTGCCTTCGTTCTTCATTTGGTTTCTTCCCAACTGTTTTACTTGTTTGCTACAAAGTTCTCCTTCTTCATTTATTCTTCAAAAATCCGCGGAACCACAAGAGAACGTTTGAATACTAGTGTTAAGTTGTCCGGAAAATAATGTCGCATCGTGTTTTAACATGCAATATCGTAGCAGGCTGCATACGAAAGTAAGTAAGTGGGGTATAAACCGATAGATTAGAGCAAGCTCTACAAAATGAAGCTTGAACCTTTGCGCCAGCTTTGATTTGCGTGAAGTTGGGAGCCAAATTTCATAAGGCACTAAGTATCCAAAAAAAGGAAAAAAAATCTCACAATCAGTCCAGAAAAGTCCTGGAAACCCCTAACTTGCTCACGCATGGAATCACTATACGAGACACTCGTATGCACATTTTCGCGGTTTTTCCAAGGTTAAAATTGAAAAAACGAAATTCGGCACATTTTTGCCAAAGCAATCCTGAGCTTATCTCACATAGGTGATTCTGTAGTACGAACCTTTAGGAGAATAATCGTGATTTTTCAGCTTTAGACAAGCGCTAGTTTTCGAGAAAAATCAAATTGTTTGCAAAAAACCCGAAAAACGCGACATATTCGCACTTTTGACCTACTTTTATTTCTCGTACTGCAGCCGTGGAAAGAATACCACAAACTATACAGGTGTTTGTCTACTGTAGAGAGTACATGCCTATGCAAATTGGAGGTCCATAAGACGTCTGTGAACGGAGATACGATTTTCGGATATCTAAAATTTTTTATATTTTGGATTCGAACTTCAGGTGGAGCGCGACTTCCGCGTAGACTTGTAAACTAGCTCGTAGAGCTTGCTTTGCTCCATCAAATGATATCCCATTCGCTGCTTTTGTGGCCATTCTGTCGCGGTGGGTAGCCATGCGACATTATTTTCCGGACATCCTAATATTAGGTTGATGCATAATTCTTTCACCAAAATAGGTACAGGCAATAATCCGGAATAATCCCATATCCCAAATAGGATTCGATACATCATTAGATAGAGCAAACCTAGCTTTACAAGATAGTGGTTAATACGTTTCGGACCGGTGCTGGTGCAGCACGTGCTTCGAAGGACCTTTTTAATGTTTACAGGAGGTTTTCTTTTAGTCTAAGGTTATCGAGTGAAAAGCCTAAGCTTCTACTTTTAGGAGACTCTAGCTGTGCCGCTCATATTTGTTTAGGAGATATGAGGACAAGTCGAACAACAGTTGCAACGAAGTGCGGCAAAGCGAACGACGCGTGCGACGTCGCAACTTTTCCTTGCTTCAATTTCAGAGAGGAAAACCACCAACCGTTGTATTGATAACGACTTGTACCATGTACAACACAGATGCTTTTGAACACTATTCGAAACTGAGGTCTTGTTCCTACCTTTCAAGAAAGCACAGAAGTCACTCTCAAGCGACAAAATTCAAACACTTCGAACTCACACAAAACTTTGAGTATGCAGCTTATCTGACATGCTAATTACAGATGCAGCCCATAGCCTACGAAATAAGGTCCCTTTGTTGGCTTTTTGCGAAATTAGCGCTGAGATGTTCTAGCACTGACAGTTGTGTACTACACGAGCTTGGAAGCATGTGCGAATTTTCAGTTTTTTACAGCAGCTGGTTCACGAGAAAAATTGAATTCTAAGCAACTAAGCAAGAAAAATTCGAATAAGAAGAGCTAGATTCGTCATTTCTCGTGAACTAGCAGTTCTAGAAGGCTGAAAATGTAAAGTTTCACTGCTAACGGCATGTACTATACAATTGTTAGTGTTAGAACATCTCAGCACTGATTTGGCAAGAAAATGAAAAACTTCGTTTTTTCATTGTCTAGCTGAGAAAAATTACAGCAACCGCATAGATAAATGTCTTACATTACATGGAATGTCTACGCGTGAGCAAGAAAGGAATTTTGTAGGAGCTTTCTGAACGAAGTTACACTTTTATTTTGATTTGTCTTATGGTTTTCGAACGTATGGTTTTTTTTTTATTTTTCGGCTTGAAAATTCGCGTGGATCAAAGCTGGTGCAGATATTTGAGCACTATCTTGTAGAGTTAGTTTTGCTCTATCTAATGATTTATCGAATCCTATTTGGGGTATAGGATTATTCCAGATTATTGGGTCTGTACCTATTTTGGTGCAGGAATTATGCATCAACCTAATAGTAACATCTTAATCAAATGGTGATACAGCTCAAATGCCGCTGCTTTAATTGTTTCTTAAAAATCGGCTGTATCGGAATTCCTTCCGCCTGTGACACCAAAATTAGCAAACGTCTTGAAAGTAGTAAGAAATACCCGAAGACACGAGTATTCGCAATGAAAAGAACTCATAAAACACACTGAGTTTTCGCTTTACAAAATAACTCTTTTCGAGGGTACTCTCACGCCAGTTCGTTGCGACGGTGCGGTTTGTAAGCCAAGAAATAGGGTAGCTGTCACCATGTATGACATGGCCGCGAAGGCACTCATTTTGCAAATGCATTTTTCCAATGCTAAGGGAATAAAGAGCAGGAAAGAAGAATGTTTCTGTTTGATCATGTCCATCCGTCACAAAAGTACTTCATGTAAATTGCTATAGGCTTACGGCAGCGTTACCAATTTTATATAGTCTTCGGCAACTTTGCGATAATTGAGATACTGTGCAAATATCAGCAAATCATCTCGCAGGGTAGGACCTATTCAAAGGGTTGCGGCAAGGAGGTACACAATAAGTATTCAAAGGCATATAGGCAGATAGGAGGTAAAGAAAAAACTCTGAATTACATTGGTGCCTATCCGAACAAAGATGTTGACCAAGCGCCATTGCACAGTCTTTCTTTGGAGGGAGGAACTCGCTTCAGAGACTCTGCGTAGCCATCCCCTTGTGGTCTCCCTTACTAACTCGTCCACCGATTTAATGCATGCTACAGTGTGCACTTATGACCATAGGGTCCTACAAAATGTTTGCCTCTTGGTCTTGATCGCCGTTGCGTTCACGTAGTTCAGATTGAGGGCTTTAGGATTAGATTGCTTCTGCCATTTTAGCGCTTTCAATGCTGCATGTTCGAGATCAGCGGCATGAATGGGCAACAGTAGAGCTAGGGTTTTGCCCGGACATCTCCCTTATCAACAAACGTCTCGAAATGATTTTACACTCCGTCTGCTAATGATTTGTGCATCATCATCTAACCATTCCGTATTTTTATCTCGCCTATGGCATAACCTGAATAGTGAGCCGTCTGTTCTTGAATGCCTAAATACTCAAGAACGAGCGGCACTTGCACCAGGAGTGTAGCCAAACAGCGCCAACTCCTTAAGCCTTCTATCCATGTATTAGATCTTTCCAAAAGTAATGTCGCTCTTTCAAATGAACGCCACATTTGGTGGAACAAGGATTTATAGGAGATTCTGGTAGCATCCGATGCAGCACCCTGTTCAACGATTACAAAAACGTTGCAGCGCAATCAGTGAGCTGTTAGAGGAATATCAAAATCTGCGACCCACGCTTTTTGAGATGGACAAGTTTCACAGTTTTTCTAGACTTTTGATCAACCTTCCGAAGAAGTCCAAGTAAAGAATTTATAGAGCAAATCTTAGAGGATACGATACGACTTTTTTCTCTATTTCATAGGTTGCCATTACTTTTAAAGAGATTTTTTGCTAAAACCATCGATTTTGACAGTCCCATGTCAGCCACAAGCGCATAAAACACATGCAGTTCTTTGGAATTATGAAACTTCCAGGGCGGTACTATATTTAACACTAATCTAACAAAGCACGGAAGTGCGGATTTTATAACAAAACATGAAAGTTCGGATTCGAAATGCCATTTTGAGTTTTCGGATACATCCTGCGACGCGTTCAAAAACATGAGTAATGATGGTTTTATCCCCAAAGACTCCATGAACTGGAGATAAGAAACACCGATTAGAGAAAAAAGTGCAAGCTGCATCAAATGGCGTTCCATAAATATATTGCTTTGGTTGATATAAAAGGTTGATATAAAAGTTTAGACAAATTGTGAAACTTGGCCATAGCACGGGTCGCCGATTTTGGTAAATTTTCGAGAGTTCATTGAACATGCTACAACAATTCTATGATCTTTAAAAAGAGGATGAAATGATGCAATAGGTGCTATCAACACCTCTTAGAAATCTTTGTTACCCGAAATGTAGCGTTTATTTGAAAAGGCGACATTACTTTTGGAATGCCCATGGAGCCCCGAATGTATCATGGGTCTCTCTCAACTAATCTAAACCAGTCCGAACAAACTTTTTTCATAACTTGTCTTCCCCCTAATCACATGGTATCCACCAAACCGTCCGCGTTGTAATGGTGTAATGTTATGCAAAAAACAGATAGCGGACGGACAAAACCATATGGCGCCTTCTTTTTCTTGTGTTTGCAGCTGTTTGCTCAGAAGGATATTTTGTTCAATGGCACTGTCAGTCTGCTTCGGGAATATTGTTAAGAACAACAGTAGGCACTGCATCAAGTCACTGTCCAAGTGCGAGGACAGAGTAGTATGTAGAGCGTCTTTAGGCTATAATGGAAACCTGCGGTTATTATGGAACGATTTGAGTGAAAGCACATAACTCAGTCGATTCATACACGCATTCATTTTGGGAGTATAAATACTACATTTGCAGAAAAAAATGCTTACCTTCTCTTGCGGACATTGTTCGCGATAGGAGGAATCATCGATAATACGATACTCATAACTTTGGATTCTTGCATAGCACGCCACCGTCGCTGAAATACATTGGAAGAGATGAAAACCTTAATTTATTTGCATCTATACATATCGTCGAGTCATTCGTAACTTAATATGCGTAGTGCACACTTTACACGTTAACTGACGAACAGCGAAACTAGAACCTGCTCATTTCCAGTGATTTCTCCTTGTTTCCTTGTTTCTTCTGTTTTAGTTGGTTATACGATAGTCAGTAGAACGCATTTCTACATGTTGTTAGGTTAGAAGATGTTTTACTCCGAAGTTACTAGTGTGGGTGCCGTCGCTAATAGAGCTTAGTGTGCAATCTCACATATTAAGTTACAAATGACTCGAGGTTAAAACTCAAAAGTGTAAATTTTTTTCTAGATGTATGTTCTTTATAAAAATCTGCGAAAGACTGAGCTGAAACTTTGCAAACATGTACTTTTAATTCCTGGGAGTAACACAGGTTACGTTTTTTGGCGATTTTTTGCCGTTCCATTAATTTACTGTCGTTCGTTTTCGTTTTTTTTTACTTCGCCGTTCAAGGAAGATCTAAACTCATTAAATGCTTCATTCTTTGAGGGAAAACTACATCTTGATGTTGGAATTGCGGAATACCCTCGCATCGCCAGCGCGACCGGGGGCGCCAACGTCGTAAGCCATTATACGACAATCAGCGTCCGCAATCGCAAAAAGTATTATGGATTAATAGTGTTTACAATTCCAAAAAACACTTCCTGAATGCATGTGTTTCTAAAAAGTTGTTTATAATGTCAATTATCAATCAGTATCGGAGCGGAAAGCTTGACATCAATGTGCTTTCCGTCCATAAACCCAACGGCCCGAGGATAACCAAAACGTTCTTGGGTTTTTAGCTACCTCTTCAAAACTTTCACGCGTTATAGGTGGGGATGCTTGATCGTGCAACCCTGAATTACAGATTCCTTTGATCCGTTTCCACTCAATGTATATACCATTAATAATTGCCTCCGTCACTTCGGCTACTATGTATGTACGAGATAGTCGTTCTTCCCATGCCTATGTCTAAGGCATAAGCGGAAAACGACACTCTCTGTGTGACGAATCTGTACAGAAATCTGCATATTATTACTGAGTAAAGGTCGGATGGTAAATATTCACCTCAGATATACCATCAGCCTGTGGCGGCCGGTGCTATGGCCGACATGGTTTCTTGGATGTTCCAATCCATTTCCGATTTTTTGATAGAGGTCGTCAAACTCATCAGGCCACAACCTGATAAAATCACGGAAGGTCTGAGGTTCTAGTAATTATATACTCATCAAAGAGTCGGAAACGGGTCTCCAAATAAGGGCGATGTTCCCGATGAATATACTGGCGACTGCGTGGGTTCACGTTTACAGCAGCTTGTAAATTCACCAGTGCATGCAAGACGTTTGATAGGGTGTAATAGCTCATTCTTCTAGAAACTAATAGTTCACTATGAATACTATTATGAACAAAATTGTTTTGATGTAACTAAAGGATATCCCCATTCAGTACCGGACACAGTACGTATCATCAGATTGGATGTCTTACTCTACAAATGCACGGCCAACTGAACGGAGCGCTATAGATGAAAATTGGAATCACTTCACTGCACGCGCGGACAATCCCAGGATATCGGGAAACAGGTCTGCCCAAATTGTAAATTATTACATAGATGTCATCTCTTAATGTCACTTCCAAACGCTGTGGAGTACTGCTTTGGCATGCAAAAGATCCTTATTCCAAATTTATCAAAGTAGAGCAGATGCTCTCATAGGCAATCTCTATCATTTGAGAACGCTGCTAAAATCCGACGAGTAATGCGTGTTCGGTGTCAAATCCGGCGCTTTGCGATTAGTGAGCAAAACACATACTCAGCAACGGGCAATGTCGATCGAGGAAGAATGAGAAACACTTTCAACACTTTCCACACTTTCAACACTGGCAACACTTGCACACCGGTAACACTTTCAACACTTTCAACACTGGCAAACTTTCAACACTTTCAACACCGGCAACACTGGCAAAGTCTGACCGATCCCATAGCTCGTGTAAGCAAGGAAGTGAAGCTCATTTGGATCTCAAGGTCATGCGGCGGTTCGAAGCGAGACTTTGCTCCAGACGAAGTCAGACGAGATCCAGAATTTTTGTTTGCGGACCAGAATTTGTAGATACATTCTTCCGACACCGGGTCGTCATTATAGACACTTGGCAAAATTCCCTCCTTTCAGATTTATCATTTCTTGGCACTTTATGAAAAGAATAAGTCCTTATCAAATTACTTGCCCAATTTCGTTTGAACAACTGCAGTAGAGCTCATTTTCATATCGCGATGATTTAAGAATATGGGAATAACCATGCATCAAAGGGGTAAGAGCGCTCGCGCACATTCGAATGCTGGGGCGGGGAGAGGAGGGGGGGGGTAAGCAAGATAAAGGAAAATCAACGAAGAGCAAATTCCGTCTTTACAAATCTGATGAAGAATTACTTTCATCCCAACGTAATTGATGACCCGAGTGTAACCGAGTCTTTCGCCAGTACGCAATAATTCTGAAGGCAAATGGGAGTTTCTATGTTGTGTGTTATGTGTTTCTTACCAAATAAAATTCTTTAAGAAAGTGAACAACTTGCGGAATTTGTTTCTTGTGGTGGATCTAGCGTTGCATGACGTAGTACGCGTTCCACTGCAAATCTTCTGCGGGAACTTGATGACAACGAACCGAGAGCTCAAAAGCTTGTCAATCTTATCTACGCTTGCACGTGCAATTTTAATTAATTCTAAATCTTTATCATCTGACTTGCATGCAAACCCAGCATCGGTCCTCTCTAGGTGCTGGTGAAAAATCTCAAGTCACTGAGCAAGTATTCTGCACAAGTAAACTAGTGTGAACATTAACACAAACACCAATTCGCAATGACTAATACTTTCTTTACAGCTGCGTGTGTGATAGACATATGAAAAACCACCCAAGGTTTCTGAACATTTTTAGTGTTAATTTAGCAGTAACATCACAACATAATCACCCCATCAAAAAGGATTGTTATTAAAACGTACATTATCACTTACTCATTGCAAACTCCAGAGTTTCTCGAGTGGTATTGCTGTCCACCACTGTAACTATTCCTATCCTTATTTTCTTCTCTTGAAAACGAGACGGGAGATGTGCATTGTTAGAGCGCAATGCATCACTTGAAAAACAAATGAATATGCTGCAATTAAATGATCACAAGCGTAAAACGCACATTTGTTTTGGATTAATTTTCCATACTGTGAGATCATCTTCAGCTATTTCCTGTAATGCAAAATCTGAATAAATTATTATTTTCGTTGTTTTGTATTGACAAGAGTAATAAATGGGCGGCATGCCAATAAGTTATTAGTGCAAAGCACATATAGCGAATGTGTAATAGGTTACAATCATCTCACATTTTCGCAAGGCAGCGATGTAATGTAAATCATGGAATGGAAGCAAATCATTGAGAGAATTGCCACAATCAACCATCGTTTTCGAAAATGAAAACACTGAAAACAAAATGCAATTTGAGAATCACAAATGTTGATCAAACTCACCCGAAATAAACAACGCCAGTTGCAGAATGGTTTCAACCTAAAGACAGGAACTCGCACAAAATTTACAGGTTGATTTACCATGAACAATCTGAACGATCAATAAATGGCGATTAATGGAATATAGATGAAATCGCCACTTCGCCGTTGTGTTGCTGAAGTGACCATCGAACAAATCTAATGGGATTAAATCCAGGGGAGTCGCCAATTCCTTGAACGATTTTCGAATTAGTGCTGAAAAGGTTGCGTACTGTAATAGAATCTTCCACCATATTTTCAAATGATTATTTGCCATAAGTTTGCTTACATGTCAGTAGTGTGTACTAATCAACTATGAGCTTATGAAAGCTGAAGTATATGAAACTATATACTTCAGCTTTCATAAGCTGAAGTATATGAATAGAAGTAAAGTATATATGAATTTTCATTTTCGAAAACGATGGTTGATTGTAGCAATTCTCTCAATGATTTGCTTCCATTCCATGATTTACATTACATCGCTGCCTTGCGAAAATGTGAGATGATTGTAACCTATTACACATTCGCTATATGTTCAGGAGCGAACAAATTTCAGCCAACTTTAATTTAGTCTCTCTTCTTTTTGTCTATCACCTTATGCTACATGCATAATCTCATTTTCATAATCAACACCATAGATTTCGTTCCATTGTCTTGACAAAAGAAGTTCCAGACATTCCAAAAAATAAGAAAGTTCGATTAACAGAATTTCATATAGCCCAACAAGTTAAAATCACAGACTGGTTCAAATGTTATCGCAGCTTTGGGATGCGAGCAGCTCTTTGAAACGGGCAGGAGAACGAACACCTCAATTAGGCACCGCCTCCAAGGGCTGCTGGCCCTTTCGTCCTACTGTTGCGCATCGTTTTAGGTTGCCTTCATACCGCGCCGGTAGTTCCGCTAACCGCCTTTGCGCACTATTCCAGTGTCCGGGCTCCAATACCGAGACCACGAATTCTGTTCAACTTGCTATAGTGGAGTTATTTGATGCTGATCACAAATAGCATGATGTTTCAATGTTTCAAAAAAGCTTCGGAATAATGGAATAGTGAGCAAAAACGGCTACAGGTGGCTAGAGGCGGCTGTCGGCGCGGTGTGGATCACCAGTCCTTCGGAGGCGGTGCCTAATTGAGGTATTCGCTCCTCTACCCCTCTGGAATTATTTAGCCGAGAGCGCTGGTTTCAACGAGCTTTTCCGCTGGGGCTGCCGAATGGACGGCTATATATAGACCGCCAAAAGCGGCTGCTTGTTCATTCATTTTTCTTGTATTTTCACTTATTCGTACTTGATTGCGCTTGGTAGCGCGGCAAGCTCACGCAAGAGGCTTTTGTGTAGGCAGTACCGAGCAGTAGAAAGCTTTGAGACGGAGGGTTTAGACTGTGATGGGATTATGAAGAATGAGAACAAGCGTGGGAGAGAAGAGGACACGTGCATTCTTATGGAATAGGAATCTCGTCGTTTAACCAAGTGGGGACCCGCTTGTATGAGAAGTTCTGGATCGTCATCGTTGGATATCGTAGCCCTCTCGGTGCCCCCTAGATAGAGCCTGCCGTATGGAGTATTATGATCACTAGTTTGCAGCATAAGTCGTAATAATAAAGTTTATTAGTGGAGATAACAAATATAGAATAGAATAAGATATAGATTATAGAATATAGAATATATATAGAATAAAGATATAGAATCAACAGATATAGATTAGACAGTAGCGGTTGATGAAGGGAGATATCTGGGGTTGAGCGTACTGCTCCGCAGCCGGGGTTCGAAAGTTCTTTTTTTTTCTTCCTCCTCGCGTCCTCCTCTTGTATATTGCTCGGCGCGCTTTCGGCATCATCTCCGCTTCGTCGACGGTGGCATTCTGTAAACATAAACATAGATATAGACCCTTACAGTAGTTAATTTATTATGTTTTTTCTATAATTTATGCTGCTAGTGGTTTATTTGTTTTTAGGATTATGCACATCGTCAAAGTCATGATCATATTTGTTGTGGCGGCACTCAGTACAGTTGTGCGGATAATGATCACTACGGTCGAGTAGGCAAAAGCTCAGTTCGCACTGTCGTCTTAACATAGTCGTAGTCTGGATTTGAAGGCAGCGAGTAAGGGGGGCTGACGTCATGCCGCAAAAGTATTGGTTTTTCTGGATAAGCCTACTGCAATCGTGCACCGCCACATACAGGACCAAAAATCTGTGGACTTGGTACATATTCATGTGATATTAAAGCTTTTGAATACTGCTGTGGGCGTGCCGCTTCATGGGAAACATGGTTTTGAAAAACTTCAAAAATATTTTTAGAAATTCCAGCGTCCGTTGCAATGTTGAACAACAATTCTTCCATTATGACAACAGAAAAACGAGACTTTTCGTTTTTACAACTATTTTGTTTCATGTTCTTTCTTTTCTAGGCAACTACCACAGGGCTCGGTACGAGGTGGCTTTCTGAAATTGCAACACAATAAAACTAGACATCCGCCATGAGGTATTAGAACAGAAAACATGGAAAGGAACGTAACAAAGCAAAACAAAAAATAACCAAAAAAGCATTAAAGAGACACGATGATACTTGTATTTTCCGGACTGGCGGCATGATGTATTCAGCGAGCACCACTACGCGTCGTTTGGAGCAGCGTTGCCGCCTCCATTCAAAATTTTCGAGGGGCTGTAACTGAGCGGATAGGAGGCGGTTTGAGGCGGTTTCGGAACTAATTTGTAGGATTTGGGATGTAGATAAAATTTCTGTAAAGAAATAAATTTATATGAAAGAGTGGAAATTTATGAATTTTTCTTTTCCAAGCCACCTCAGGTGGCTTCCAGGTGGCTTGAAAGTCACCACAACTCCGCACTCAGCCCACAAGTTTTTTTCATAATTTTTCATACTTAGTCTTAGCTCCCCATTGCCCATCTACACACCTATTTTGGTGTCATTTCATCTTCAGTTCGCTGTAAACAAGCTCTTTGTTTGTTTAAAAGAGCATGCTGCCGACATGCCGACAGCGTGCAGGCGGCAGATCGAAGTCAGCGATATGCTCTTCCGCAAAAACGATATTCCCCTTTTCTTTCTCCCCAAAAACGATATCCAGCTTGCTTGGTAAGCAACCTGTACCTTGCCCTGCTACCACATCCGAATCGTGATTGTTATCGAAATAACGCAAAAAAGAAACCAGCTTTTTACTTTTTCCCCGAGTTGTAAAGCGGCAATCCTGGAGCGAAATCCTGCGGTTTGATAACGCTAAGAAAAAGTTTCAAAACCTACTGCAGCGTTTTCACACGTTTTTTCCAAAATTTCTCAAGCTTTTCTACCTGGTTCACCTCTCGCTTGCTTCTTTACAGACAAACTTTATTTTTCATAAAGAGCAGGAATGCAAATAATCTTCACTTTCAAGCGTCTTCTTTAAACTAACGTAGGTACGTATGCTTGGTTCCTTTCAAGGGAGAAATTTGTTAAAATAGCAAGGACTCCCGGTATTTCGTCATAAAGAGAGTAAAGAGAAAAAAAATGAATTACAAAGAAATCCAAAGTGCGCATCGTTGGGAAGCGCTTTCAAATGTTGTTGAAGTTATTTTGTTGAGTTGACATACCGGAATATTCTTTCATTATGAAAGCCAAAAAAACTACTGATAAGCCATGCAAATAAACTTCTCACTCCTTGCGGACGTTCTCTATCATTTGAGTGAAATCTTTGATAGCTTTCTGATGATGACAACATAAACTCAATCATCTTCCAAATTTTTGCGAATTCTACATAATTCTGCAAACAAACATTTTGTTAAGCGGACTAGGGCATAGCTTATGGAAATTGAAGACATGCCAAATGTCGTCGTTGTCTTTCAGCGTTGATCCATGGTCAAACAAACAGGCACAGCATCCTTATCATGATTGTTATTGATCGCTCGAATGTCTCATCTAGGCTGGTAACTTTATTCCACCATCTACCAATAACGAAAGTTTCATTTGCTTACAGTGAATGTTCGTCTAATTGACAGGATCCTTTTTATTGGAATCAACCGTCCCAACAGAAAAAATTGTGTCAACCATGAGACTGCAAAAGAGCTGGTTGTTGCATTTAAGCGATTTAATAATGATCCGGATGTAAAAATTGGAATTTTATATGGAGAAGGTAATCATCAATAATAAGAAGTAAATTTTTCAATATGATGTGTAAATAACCAAAACTCCGTTTCGTTCCTGCCCTTAGACGGAGTACAAGTTTCTCCTTTTTCTCCCTTTTCTTGATTTCTTTGAAATACAAATTTTCGGCATCGACCAAATTGAGGTTTACTTTCTTTTTTACTTTTGAATAAAAATTTTTAGGCAATACTTTTTGCTCTGGTTATGACCTTTCCGAAGTGTCAAAACTGGATACGACTTCTATCGACGAGCAATTCCCTCATAAGTACCGCTATATGGTTGGTAAACAGAAATTGAGCTATTAGTTACTTTTCAACTGCTAGAGCTTGAAACGAATTTTCATTTGCACTAATTCTATATGGAGCCAGATTTTTCATTTTTTTGCATTATCATACATTTGCCCATATTTGATCTGCATGATAAGAAGCTTTTCAAACCAAATGTGAGCTAGCAACTAGAAATAAATTCAGATTCCCCCTGGTTGATTGCTTTTATAGTTAACGACACGGTGTCATTCTAGGGACCTTCTATCATGGAATTGAAGAAGCCACTAATTGCAGCCATTGAAGGTTACGCGGTGGCTGGTGGTCTAGAATTATCACTTATGGGTAAAATTTGACAAATTTTGTTTTGGAACTTTGTAGAAACTTTAATATTGCTTGTGATACGTGTTTTAGCGGACATTCGAATATGCAGTAAATCCTCCATATTTGGTGTTTTCTGTCGTAGAGCCGGTGTTCCACTGATTGATGGTGGAACGGTGCGGCTGCCGCGGATTATAGGTTTGGGAAGGTGTCTTGGTCTTTTTCAACCTGTTTTTCATTTATATACGATGTTGGTGTTTATACCTCATTTTTTACGACGATTTTCAGGGCTTTGGATATGACACTGACTGGCAGACCAGTAAATGCAACAGAAGCTCTTCAATGGGGCCTGGTGACTGAAGTAGTCGAGGATGGTGAAGGTAATCATTAGCATTACACAACGCATTTGTTTTATAAAATGCAAAATCGTATTCCGCAGATGGGGTTCTGTAACAAAAATTATTTTTCACAGCAAAACCACATTCTCAGGAAATCTAGTTTATGTACACCAAAAACCGTTAACAAATTCTTGACAAAGAATTTAGAAGTTTTCAAATCTTGGATTTAGCTCTTGCCGCTGCCACCAAACTTGCCAGGGACATTCTCAAACATCCGTATGAGTGCCTTCTCGCTGACAGACGATCCGTACTGTATTCTGTAGAAGCCAAATCGAAAAACGCATTCGCATTTGAGCTGAACAGCTTATCAGTGATTCCAGCTGCTATTAAAGGTAGGGAAATTTCTCACGCAGGAGACAGTAAATACGCCTCTTCTTTGCGTAAAACGAATTGTATTGTATTCAGGCGCTCGTACATTTCTTGAACAAGACAAGGAAAGAAAATCAAAGATGTGATGAAAACGTGAATGAGTTACGGGATTTTAACTTCAACATATAACACATTTTCAAGTTTTAGATAAATGTCAGACCTCGTCAAAAATTGTATTATTGTTATTTTAGTGCACTGTACTAGTTTTTTAGAAAGGAGTACAAGTTCCTTACGATTAACAACTGTCGAAGGCTTATTGTTCATGTAATTCTAGCTGAAACTCTCAGCGTGTAGTTCAACATCACGCAACTTTGATAATTCAATCTACTTATTGGTTTGAACCATATAGATCATCCGGGATACTATTCAATAAAAGTATTCCAAAAAGTCTTCTTTCGCCCGATGTCATACAAACTTAAAACATCTTGCAAGAAATACTGAGAAAAATGCATAAGACATTTTCGTTGTTTTATTTCGAAATTTCGTACTGTACACGATTTTTACAGGAATTCCCTTATTGCTAAACTGTTGCTGTTCATTCAGACTGCAAAAATCACCTGACGCTTTTCACAACATTAACAAAAATCCCTTAGCTTCCCTTAGCTCATTATCAAGATATTTTGGGAGATGGTTCACACATTTTGTTAGGAAGAATCCTTCTGACGCTTTCCACCAAAAGATGCTTGCCAGACCAGTGCGGCATTTGGTAAGCCCCGCGGCCCGCCGAGTGATGTGATTGGGCCGCGACTTTTCTAATCTCTTCCCAAGCTTACCTTTGGCGCGATGTTCCCGGTGAAAAATACTTGAGCCGCGGCGTGCAAGGCTGAGATGTTTGAAAGCTTTGAAACGGCGAACTTTCCGATGCAATTGTCTGAATATATTCTGAATATATCCAGCAAAAAAACTTACGTCGATATGTCCCTAGTAGGAGTTGATGTAGCCCGGCCACGAGGCGCTTCGGAGGTGGTGTTTGATGAAGACCACAGCTAGAGAGCATGTTGATTATTAGCATGTTGATTTCGAAGTGAGAAGACATCAGAAACATACGCCAGATGAATCATTCGTTGATGAGGTGTTCCATCCACTACTGTATGATCGCTCTGTAATGGATATTCAATTTCCTTTTGAGGTTTTAGATCATAGTTGTAGGTGATAGATTCAAACGTCAGACTTCACAATTTCTTAATTTTGGAGGCGGGTTTCACAATTTGGATTGGTAAATGCAGTCGGATAAGTGTGGGCACAAGCGTGTGTCAGTAAATCTGCGCAAGTTTTATAATAAAACTAGAAGGGTAAAGCTTGCTATAGAAAAGAAGCAGCAGAGGTAGTTCTACCTATAAAGCGGATGGTCTGAAGATTACCCTAAAAAAAGACTTGTTAGAGTAAATGGGAATATTGATGAAATTTTTATCATTAGCTATAGACTAATTATTGATATGTATACTTTTTAGTCTTTATCGTGCCGTAAAGGTTGGAACAGATGATAGGTTTTACTGTCAGCAAGTCATTACATGGGTTATGAAAATTGTGACTTGCAGTGGCGTACCGAGCGGGAGGGGGACATCCCCCCCTCAGGTACAGGACGCGAAATTTTTGAAAGCTACTTACTTGGGCTATAAAAATCTGCAAATAACTTGTCTGCACTTGAAAATAATTAAAATAATTTTTACAATTTTTTAAAAATTCATTTCAGCCTTATAAAAATTTTTTTATAAGGCTGAAATGCCTATGAGGCTCTTTTTCTGAAAATTCGGAGTTCTGAGCCCGCGAAAATTCTAGAGAGCATACGAAAAAATTTTTCGGAGTCCGTGGCTGACGACACGCACCTTCATCGGAAAATTTTTTTGTCGCGTCCCCTTCCCCCTCCCCCCCCCCCCCCCTATCTCATGCAATTGCATGCAAATCATCCAGAGCAAGCAAGAACATCATTAATTACAAACAATTTCTCACGCAGAGACCGGATGCCATTGCGTCCGAGTAAAATAGCATGTTGTGGGGTAGATAGCAGAGAAAGGCAGTATCCAGGCAAAATCTAGCTCTCTCGATTAGTACCCAGTTGACAAGAAGACTCTAGGAGTAGGACACCTGCGTTGGTTCGGTCCTCCAAAGTGGCCTCTTGATGGAAAATAGACATAGAACAAAAGTGCTGTCAAGCCACGCCCGCCCCATCAAGCTCCGCCCACCCAATCACCGAAAATTGCCTTCACTTCAGGATAGAGCTCCCGCAAATCGCTTCTTTGGGGGAGGAAGGGGGTGATTTGTATGTTTTGCGCTCTATACCTGTAAACGTGGCCACGGGCCCAAAATGACAAAACATGAAAGAGGAAAATTTGGGTGGATGCTTTAAATAGTAATCTATTTGCCTCTGCCTGGATGAATCGCCTATAGTCTTGCCGATGTAAGTCGTAAGAATTATCTGCGGTACACCACAGCACCTTCCCCCCTTGACATGTTGCTTTAGAAGTATTATAGATTGTCAATATAATTTGCTACACTGACCGAAAAGACTGTTGTCCAAGCGTAGACGTTGTATTGGTGGATTCGTTGGTGACAACGCCATTGAGGCATCAGTGGGCGAGTTGCTTGGAAATACTCCCCTTATTCTAGACAGCACAAATTACCGTTCAGAGTAGAGTCATTCCCGCTTCTGTTTTGCCACATCTGTAAAGCAGTCAAATAATGTGAAATCGAGCTGATAGTAAACAACAACTGAGACATTCATTGTGCCTGTTTCTAAGTTTTCTGCAGTTGTTTTTGAAATAATTATAACCACTCACCTCGTTGAATAAGGCAGCAGCAAGGAGAATAAACCACAATACATAGAACAAGAAATGCGTTCAGTGATTTCTCAGCGGCTTATATAGCATAAGACTCTCTGTATTTCAACAGTATTTCGTAATCATCACGAGAACATATAGAAAATATGCGGATGAATGCTAAAGAGTGTGATGATCCGGCTATGATTCACGGTGCTGTATTCACAGTGAAATTCCTTGAACAGATAACATTAGCATCTATTCACAGTGAAAATTCTTGGAACGGATAACATTAACATGATAAACATGAAAGACTGACATTTCCCTTGCAGAAAATCAGAGTTCAAGAGATATCTCAGATAAAGCAGTAGACTTTGCATAACGTTCCATGTTCTTTAATGAACCTTTGCTTATCGTTCAGGTTGTTTCACTTTAAACAATCTCATTCTGACAGCAAAGGCCACTTTCAAACAAATTGAGCTGTTTTTGTTTTCATGATGGACTTAGGGCACCACTCGGTAGAGCGGAGAAGCTGTCCAAAGAGACCACCAAAGGTCCACCCAAGTCGTAATCTAGGTGAAATTTGAGGGCAGAAATCGAAATTTTTTAGCTAACCTCAAATCGATCTCCTTCCCAAATTCCTGCGGACTTCAACTTGGTCATTAAATAGTAGATACATAGTAGTACCCAAAGATGTATTTGGCGGATTTTTCCCAGGGTTCAAAATTGGGAAAAAAAGATGGTCCGAAAATGCCAACATCCCACTTTTTTCTGTTTTTTTTCAAATGTAAAACTTACAGCACATACAGGGGTAGGGTTTAAAATTGTATTTAGTAAGGCTTGTAGTACACAATGACATATGTGGGAGGGACTGGGGGGGGGGGCAGAGTCTGCCATTTTTGTACAATTCTTGTTTCTCGCTTTCTATGCTAGGAAAAAATTCGGTAAAGGCATATTTGAGTACTACTATATGCCTGTATAATGACCAAGTTGGAGGTCTGTAGGATTCCTTGTCGCAGAAATCCAATTCTCAGATGACAAAATTGTTTCGATTTTGGCTTCAAACTTTCCATGGATTGCGACTTAAGCGGATCCTTGATGGATATTTGTAGAGTTTGATCTACTCTATCGATTGATACCCTAAGTTTACTGGGAAAACAGAAACAGCTTGAATTATTTGAAAAAGGAGTTCACTTTTGGGACAACCTAACAGTTTCCGAGCGGCTCTTATGTAGCTATATCACTTTCGCTAGCTGCATCGTCTAATACCCTTAAACTCATCCATGCTTGCTTGAACTTATAAAAGGAGCATACCAACTTGAGCTGGCGATGAAGACGAGGTGGAGGCAGCGTCCGAACAAGCTCAGGAGTTTTGGGATTTGAGAGCCATGGGAAAGTGGGCCCCGGTTACCCACGCAGTGGGAGGTCACAGATTGATCAGAAGCAAGAAATACGGTCGGAAAGTTGGGAAACTTGCGCTCTAGGGCAGAGCCCTCTATTCGTAGATTTTCTGCTCAGCGGCAGATACACATACCACCACGCTTCAAGTCGTAGGGTCCCACTCGGCAACTCGGCGTCTCATATATGGAAACTGTTCCACCTTTCAGACTCAAATTGTAAAGCTGTTAGAAGAGCATGTTCTCGCAGTTTCTGCTGTTTCTAACGTAAATTTTGGATTGAGCGTTGCGAATAGCCCCAGGTAAGTGAATTTGTTAGATATCGAGTTCCTGCCACGACACTGCCCTCAAACGCTGACTCTGAATCCGCTTTTCTTTTTTGTTGAACACCTCTTTGAAAGAAGTAATGAGCAGTAAGAAGCCCAAATGCGAAGTCTGAAGTTGCACAAAATTAGCAAAAAGCTGTACCAAATTTGTAAGCGGGCGATCATTTATATCAAGTACATTGATTACAAAGAAGGAATACGGCCAATCCACATAGGTGTTTTCGTGAAGGTTTTGCTAATTCTATGCTTATGCTTAGATCTTGAATAAGATACATTCAAGCACTCATTACTTCTTTCGAGAGTTGTTCCCTAAAAGGGAAAGCAGATTTGCATATGAAGTGTGATATCATTTTTATCTTTTTTCATCAAAGTAGTAAAAGTTTTGAGTAAAACCTAAATTTTTGTATCCTGAAGCAATCTTGCTCTCGGATGGTGTTCGGGCGAACCTCGGTGAAAAATACCGCTCATAATTCGTCTAATCACCAAATCCCATCGGAGCTCACCAAAACCCCATCGCTATCTTGGTTCAAGCTGGACGAATACCGAAATCAAAGGCAATGCTGCCAGTACACTGACCAACCTCAGAAAGTACACCTCGTCTTCTCTCCGCTTCGTTTCCGCACACAAAAATTCAAGATCTTGTAGCAGCCGTAAAATTCCTTTCAGTTCTTTCTTAGGCTCGCATTGGCTATCTCATACTTGAATGAAAAAAAAAATAAGGTCTCTCTGAAAACACCATCGGCACAATGCACGATGTTTTCTTCAAAGTTACTATTTACGGATAAATTCTTCCCGACAATGCTTTTTGGAATGATGAAACTGACCAACGCTTGCAACAGAAATTACATTTACTCGCTCTGGTGGTTATGCTCTCAGAAAGAAATTAGGCAGATAACGGACTGTGCTGGAAAATTTCGCCTTTCTTCAATATCTTATTGGCTAAATGAAAATGTAAGCCACGAAGACGTTAAGCAAGACTTGCTTGGAAGTGCCATCGCAAACTCGTTTGATCACGGGGCTGAGATATTATGCGATAGCGATATTATATTATTTATTATATTATTAGCGATATTATGCAAGCCCTGGACAAGTTTTCCTAAACGCAAGGCTACTTTCATTCAAGCGAATAAGCCATTTGGAATCGAATACAATTGGATCAAGATCACTTTTCAGTTCAACAATTTGTGTAAATCTTGTCAACATTATTGCATCTCACATGATTTATTCAAAAAATGAACAAAACCTCACACGCTATGCTGAAATCAAATTATTACCAGCATTTCTTCGTATATACAAACATCAATGGCAAGAGAAAGCAAATTTTTTCTTAATCTACCAGTCTCTACAGTAGGCGGTTTTTGGATGTTGGCCAACTGAGACATTTTTCCTGGGATTCGCTTGATTTCTCCAACTGTCAGGGGAAGGTTCCATCAAACCTGAGTACCTGAATTTTCGGTGCAGACTGATAGGGGCTTAATCAAACGATAGCTACTCCTTGTCAAGACGGAACTTCATTAAAATTATTCTTAGCCAAGATATGAAAATCGAAAGCCCAGTACCGTATTCTTTACTAGCAGAGTACGGTATTGGGCGAAAGTTCAGTGGTGAGTTTTTCGAATACTTATGAATTAGATGAGGTGCCGTTTACACATAAGGAACCAAGTACCCAGGTTTGCTTGAACACTGCCTTCAAGAATACTAAAAGTGAAGATCTACCTTGTTATAGACATTAGCAAAGTTGTAAATCTCGTCCTGTGACAATTTTCCATCGCGATCCACACCGATATAGCTCAGAATCTGATAAGCCATCTCTCTATCGGCCTCCTTCTACAAACTGCATTTACTAGCTAAGGAAGGATAGATTTCTATTTTTTTTAGCTCTCACCCTGCTTTTAGGTCTGTTGTAGTTAAGCTGAGCAACAAATTTTTCATAGGTGAGCTGACCATCATCATTCAAATCTGCAGCCTAGAATACGCTATCGATAATGCTAGAACAAAAGATTTTCAAATTTTTGAAATGCCATAAAGTTGCAGGTTTCTTTGACAACGCAGTTGAGCAAGGAAGCAGTGGAAGTACGGGGTGTCTCAAAAAATGTGCGTATACTATATGATTGTTAATAACTCTCTTGTAATAAAAACTTTCAAGAAGCTTTGAGTACCGTATTGTAGAGCTGGCTTCAACTTAGATTCACAGTATAGAGCGAACCACCGATATCTCTTCATTACTGTAGAATTACGGTATAAACTTCAAGTATATGGCGCCATTGTGAAAAAAGCTGTCTTCAAAAATTTTCAAAGCAATGTGAAAACTTATGTAATAGGCTTTTCATAGACGCTAAGTTCAATACTTGACTATGTGCAGGATTGCCAAGCTTTCCAAACGGTGTAACCACATTTAGCAGCATTGAAAAATCGGCCGCTACACCTTACCTCGCATAACATTCTAATGAAGCGTCATGATAAGTTGCGAAATAACATTTAGAATCAGCAACTGTAATTACTCCAGTGAAAGTTTCCAGGCTGTTTTTTCTAAGGTAAAATATGGCTTTTCATGGCTCATAACCCTCTTTGAAGTTTCTATCGTACTACAGTAATGAAGAGGGATGGTGATTCGTTCTATGCTGTAAATCTAAGTCGAAGCTAGCTCTACAAAGCGGTACAAGCTTCTCGAGAAACTTCATTACAAGAGAGTTATTTACAATCAGACAGTGTTCACATTTTTTGGGACACCCTATATACAAGGAGCTCGCAAAAATATCGGAAATACAAGTAGAATTAGTTTGTAAGATATTTTTGAGTAAATCTCTGCTACTTTTGGTAAACACTGTAAAACATAGAGAATAGTATTTACTTCGATTTCTGCATCATTGAAATATTCTTTCATTCAAGAAATAAAAATGCAGTTCCTTACCTTGCATCCTTTTTTCACTGCGGGCCGGCAGCTTCATTCTGGTCTACATTTGGTCGTTGTTCAAATCCATGCGATAAATTTGAAGGTTCTATGTTAGTAGAAACGAGTAATGGGGAACAACATCATTTCGGCTCTCTTCACAAATTGACCATTCAAATTAAGCTGCAATTAATCTTAGCCCAATAGTGTGCTGAAAATTTTCTGCTGTTTTTGGTATCTCACAATATTTGTGATAGTGAACAATTGCCAACCCTTTGAATTTTGAAAAAGGAAGAGGAATGCCACTGAACTTTTTGAAGACCATATGCCATTTGAAAGTTCTTACGAAACTAATTTAACTTTCCGAACTTTCCGATGCAATTGTCTGGATATATTCAGCAAAAAAACTTACGTTGACATGTCCCTAATAGGAGTTGATTTAGCCCGGCCTTTTTGGCTATGGTCTTCATCAAACACCACCTTCGGAGGTGGTGTTTGATGAAGACCACAGCTAAAAAGCATGTTCATCATCAGCATGTTGATTCGAAGTAAGAAGACAGAAACATATGTCAGGTGAACCATTTAATGATGATGTGTTCCATCATCCACTAGTGTATGATCTCTCTTGTAGGAGGATATTCAATTTCTGACGTTTTAAGATTTTAGATCATAGTTGTAGATGATAGTTCCAAACGACAAACTTTCAAATTTCTTAACTTTGGATGCGGGGTTCAAAGTTCGGATTGGTGAATGCGAGCGGATAAGTAGTGGGCACAAGCGTGTGTCATAATAGCTGCGCAAGTTTTTTAATAAAACTAGAAGCGTAAAGCTTGCTGTAGGAAAGAAGCAGCAGAGGTAGTACTACCATGAAAAAAAAAGACTTATTAGAGTAAATGGGAATATCAAAGAAATTTGTATCACTTAATAGAATAATTTTTGATACGTATAGTTTTTAGTCTTTATCGTCCCGTACAGATTGGAACAGATGATAGATTTTCACTACCTGACGTTTCGGCGAGTCATTACATGGGCTATGAAAATATGTGACTTGTTTATAATCGCAAATGAGTCATTACGTGGGTTATGGAAAGATGTGACTTGTTTATACTCGCTAATGATTGAAATGATTTTTAGAATTTTTCAAAAATTTGAATTAGCCTTATAAAAATTTTTTCATGAGGCCAGCAAAATTTTGGAAACCTTCTTAATAAAGTTCGGAGTGTGTGTGTGTTCATCGTTCTCCCCCCCCCCCCCCCGCCCCCTCGCCCCGAAGGAAATCCTGGGACGTCCTATGTATATCAAGATTTTAGATACCTCTTTTTATCTTGAAGCCCACTTTGGGCTCACTATCTTTGAGGACCATACCACCCACGGTGTTCGGCAAAGTTTCGTCCACCGCTCTAACGTAATCTTCTCGCTTGAGCACAATCATTTATAGGGGTCGACCAACCCGCGCTGGAATTACATAACCCTCGGCTTCCTTTTAAAGAGGCGGAGTCCCGCACTGACCACGCGCAGCAATCAAATTTTTGGGTCATGCTGCAGATTCAGCGACCTAAATAAATTGATGTAAAAACATACTCCAAAATTACCTAGTCTCATGCAGTTGTATGCAATTCATCCAAAATCAAGCAACAACATCGTTAATTACAAGCAATTTTTCACGCAGAGACCGGACGCCATTGCGTCCGATCAAAATAGCATGTTGTGGGAGAGATAGCAGACGGACAGGCAGCATTCAGGCAAAATTTAGCTCTCCCGATTAGTACCTAGTCGACAAGAAGACCCTAGGAGTAGGACACTGCATTGGTTCGGTCCTCTGATATGGCCTCTTGATGGAAAATGGACAAAGAAGAAAAGTGCTGTCAAGCCACGCCCACTCCATCAAGCTCTGCCCACCCAGGCACTGAAAAATGCTTTCACTTCAGAATAGAGCTCCCGCAACTTGGTTTTTTTGGGCGAGGGGGAATTTGCATGTCCTGAGCTCCAAATCGTAATCGTGGCCACGGAAAGGACCCATAATGACAAAAATGAAAGACGTAAATTTGGGTGGATGCTGCTTTTGAATGGCAATCTATCTGCCTCCGCGTAAGGCCTCGTACAGAGTTCACGCGATTTGATCGTTGCTATTTAATTGCCGCCTCATTCGTTTTCATTTCACATTCAAAAACTCATTCATTCAAAAATTTCGAGCTGGAAAAGTATGACAACCGAAATGCAGGCTGGTCGGCATGCAATGAACTCGTAACAATTGTTTTTGGCAGAACAGAAGCGCGAATGCCAAGAGGCATTCGCGATGACTCTTGGCATTCTGTTCTGCCAAGAACTGAAGCGCGAATGACTCTTGACATTCGCGATGACTCTTGGCATTCACGATGACTCTTGGCATTCGGCAGTCAATCGCACCTCTGTTTTGCCGCATCTGTAAAGCAGTCAAATAATGTGAAATCGGGTTAATAGTGGTTAATAGTAAACAACAACTGAGACATTCATTGTGCCTGTTTCTAAGTTTTCTGCAGTTGTTTTTGGAATAATTATAACCACTCACCTCGTTGAATAAGGCTAAGCAGCAAGGAGAATAAACCACAATACATAGAACAAGAAATGCGTTCAGTGATTTCTTAGCGGCTTATATAGCATAAGACTCTCTGTATTTCAACAGTATTTCGTAATCATCACGAGAACGAATAGAAAATATGCGGATGAATGCTAAATAGTGTGATGATCCGGCTATGATTCACGGTGCTGTATTCACAGTGAAATTCCTTGAACAGATAACATTAGCATCTATTCACAGTGAAAATTCTTGGAACGGCTAACATTAACATGATAAACATGAAAGACTGACATTTCCCTTGCAGAAAATCAGAGTTCAAGAGATATCTCAGATAAAGCAGCAGTCACACTTTGCATGATGTTCCACGTTCTTTAATGAATCTTTGCTTATCGATCAGGTTGTTTCACTTTAAACAATCTCATTCTGACAGCAAAGGCCACTTTCAAATAAATTGAGCTGTTTTTGTTTTCATGATAGACGGCACCACTCGATAGAGCGGAGCAAGCTCTACAAAAAGACCACCAAAGATCCACCTAACTCGTAATCCAGGTAAAATTTGGGGCCAAAATTCAGAATTTTTCACCTACTCTAAAAATCGGATCTCCTTCCCAAATTCTTGCGGACTCCAACTTGGTATTTGTATAGTAGACACATAGCAGTACCCAAAAAAGTATTTGGCGGACTTTTTCTATGTATCAAAATTGAGAAAAAAGATGATCCGAAAGTGGCAAAATGCCGCTTTTTTCTGGTTTTTCATGTATTAGTATTTCTCGACTATAAGAGCACAACAGGGGTAAGGTTTTGAAATTGTATTCAGTAAGGCTTGTAGTATATGGACATATGTGGGAGGGGTTGGGGGCAGAATTTGCCATTTTCGAACAATTTTTGTTTCTCGTTTTCTATTCTCGGAAAAGGCATATTTGAGTACTATTATGTGCCTAATGTATAATAAGCAAGTTGGAGGTCTATAGGATTCTTTCTCGCAGAAATCCAATTTTTTGGTGACAAATTTTTTTCGATTTTGGCTTCATACTTTCCATGGAATGCGACTGGGCAAATCCTTGTTAAATATCTGTAGAGCTTGATCTACTCTATCGTTGATACCCTAAGTTTACAGGAACAAAAACAGCTTAAATTGTATGAAAAAGTAGTTTACTTTTGGGACAACCTAATAGTACAATTTGAAAAACAGAAGGTCCGCATTTCTAGAAAGGGGTTTTATTATCCTCCACATTGAAGCCGCTTTCGAAGAGCATTAAATGTATATGAGTATCGTTTATGAATTTTTAGTGTCAGCATCAGCGCTTCTATGCACATGATCCTTCCGATCCTTCGGAGAGCTCCTGCCAAGGATCGCCGGTAATCCATCTTGCAGGAAATCCATCAATAATTCTGATTTTTGGGAGAATCTCGCGTATTCTGTTGCGGTAGAAGTGCTGGGTGCTAAAACACCATTGTTGGCATATTTCCATTGATGTTTCGAGGTACCTGTATATAGGATTCATTTCGAACGCAAGGTCTCGGAGCGAAGGTAAGCGATTCAGATACGCCACCTCGGACCAGTTGGCAATCTGAACACATAGAATCAAATGTTAAAATACATTCGGAAAATTATAAAACCTTGTTTTTTCGAATCCACAAGCTTCTGAGTTTCACGAGGTGCTGAAGATTTTCAATTTTCTCAATACGATTGTCGTTCAAATCGAGACAGCTGAGCGCCAAGTTATTTGCTAGCCTAAACAAACGAATTATAGAAATGTGCTAATTGATAATCTCTCCAGCATTAGAAAAATTCAAACAGTTAGGTCCAACAACTCACCTCTCATTCTTGGCAAGGTGTTTCTGATAAAAAGACTAACCCGGCTATTCTTGTTATTCCATTTTGTGCTACAGACAAATCCACAAGGTTTATTAGCGCTCCCAATCCTTCAATATCTCGTATGGCATTACCAATAAAACTCAGCACCGTCAACCCTCTCAGTGTAGAAAGCCCTGAACTTTAAAGTATTCTAATTACTAAATGATGCTTTCGATGACATGAACCTTCTATTACAGTGATCTGCTTCGCTCCCAGAAACAGCTTCTTCAATCCTGTCAACTCTTCCAAATTTTCCACTTTTCTGATGCGATTATCTGCTAGTTCTAGAAGCTCTAATGAGCTTAGCTAGAATTGTAACCTGTGATTCCCATAAGTTGTCTTATCATTGGTTGCTTACTTTGTTCAATCCTTCAATTTTTGTCAACTTATTTCGGGTCAAGTAGAGCTCTTTGAGTTTTATAAGTGTTTCTAATCCTTCAATTTTTGTGATTCGATTATAAGATAAATCGAGTATATGTAGGTTCGGTATATCGGTGAGATTCTCAATTTTCGTAATCTGTATCTAACTTTTTGGCTCAATTTTCAAACTAGACATTCTCACTTGGTTATCATATAGCGATAAGCGTGTTAAGCTTTGCAGTCCACTAAGATTTTCAATCTTCTTGAGCAAATTCCATCTAAGCACTAACATCTCGAGTTTTGAAAGCGATTTGAAATTTGTTGCCGATAACAGGCGTCGCCTTGTCAAATCCAGCTCTTTAGTGTCGTCGTCTACTTCAATCTCTGCAATTTTTGGTTATTGCTCACAGCCATTCTGCAACGGAACTTACCGATGTCATCCTTGACTACATTTCCGTTGCCATCATTTGAAAACATGACCACACCGCTTAATTTCACCATTTCGAATGATCATAGCTATTCATGGTATTGCCAAATGAGCCCCATAACATGAAAACCAAAAAAGACAACAACTTTCGCAAGATAATCCACTAAAAGGGCAACAGGCTTTCGCGCTATCCAGTAATCACCTTGCGTGACTTCGAGCTTCGTAACTTCGGTTTCGTAACTCCCCCCCCCCCGCTTTTGCTTAAAGCTATACCTAGTCTCTAAGAAGGCATTGGGCTCATATGTCCAGATCGTACAGTTTCAGCAAAATTCCCGCAATGTGTTGGAACTGTGCCGGAACTGTGCTGTATGCGCTGCAGCCACCCGCATGCGGTTTTGAGCGGCGGGAATTACAGATTTTTGACTTTTGACGGTTCTTCTCTAAAACGTCAATTATTTCGGTCTCATTCTTTTACTTCGCTTCCCTTTTGTTGAGCAGAGCCTCATTCATGAAGCGGGGATGAAGTATGAGCGCCTTTTTGCATTCAATTATCTGGGATGGGTTCCGTTCTCATGCGCTCGTTCATTTTCTCTTCAAGATTTTTGCTTAGACCACTTCATGTGTTACAGGAAGCCTCTGCCTAGTCTCCACAGCCACCTATCTTGAGCTAGCATACGAAAAGTTCTGACAATCCGGAAAATCGGACCGTTTTTTTCCTAGTTTGATGAGTCTAACTGGGCATTCTCAGCCCCTTTCCTTTTTCCATAATATTGCTTATCTTATCGTTCTTCTATCTCGCCTCTCTTTGTGAACCTAAAAGCTGCACTTCGAGCGGGGTTAGAGAATGAACGCTGTTTTGCTTCATGTATATGAGTTGGATCATCGTGCGCTCGACCCTCCTTTTTGTTATTTTTTCGTTATTCGTACTTACTTCTATGTTCTAGGAAGATACGTCTTTGTTTTGACAACATGACCGCAGGAACCATGCAGCTTTCTGGAAGATATGAGATAGGTCTGCAGCAGTAGCGTACTGCGACTTGTTTATGCTAGTACTTGATTTGAGTAGTTTTCCGCATTCCTCCCCCCCCCCCCTCCCCGAACGGAATTCTGGGGTGCGACTGGTCTGCACAAAATTAACAAGAGGGTCGGCGCGAAGGCACATCTTCCTGGATACAAAGAGCGGAATAACGATCATTTCACGCCATTTCATGTTCATAGCCTTTTCATCACAAGGAGAAGCGAGGTAGACGAATGGGACTGAAATGAGTAGAATTTGAAAAAAAAAACTTTGAAAACGAACAAGAATCTCCAATTCTCTTCGCTCAAAACCGCATGCGTGCGGCTGCAGCGCATGCAGCACAGTTCCGGCACAGTTCCAGCGCAGTGCGAGGACTGTGCTGGAGCTGTTTCAAAAATTGCGGATCGATATGGAAGCAGCTTTAAGAGGAGGACATCTGAGTTGCTGGTCCTTTAATGTGGTTCCTAAATGGAAAGAAGATTTGGAACTAAGTGCTACCAAACCAAACCGCCCTATCAAGCTCCGCCTGACAAGAGCAGTCACTTAGCTTAGGTCGGTCTTTTGGAATGAGACACATATATTTGAAATCAGCTAGGAACGCTAATTTCAAATTTCCTGTCCTCAGCTGCGAAGCGTCCCTCTGAAGCGAGTTACGGGTTTTTTAGTATGCCACTGACTTATAAAGTTGAGTAGATTTTCCGCATAATATAGTGTGCTTGCATAGAAGCTGAAATGCGGTGAAATTTGCGCGTGAATAAATAGCCACGCCAGTATTGCCGGCGTTTTGCGCGCGAAATGGGCCGGCGTCACAGTCGAAGCCATTTGTTCACGCACAAAATTTTACTGCATTTCACCTTCTGTGCAGGTACACTATATTAAGCGAAAATCTACTTGACTGTACTTGACTGTAACTAAATATGAAAAGAAAACCTTTGGATGAAAATCTACCCAAAAATGGTGGAAAATTGCAATAACATCAAATTGACGTTGGCTTTGATAGGGTATTGTATGCAACCACTACCTAGATGATGATAGCATAGCATGCCTAAGTTGGTCAACACGCAAACTTTGCTCAGGAAAAAGCAATAACTCGCTCCAGAGTAGTGCTTTGCAGCTATGGAAAGCAGATTTGAAATCAGCGCATCAAGCTGATTCCAACTTCATGTGTCGCTTCTCAAAAGGCCGACAAGTAAGATGTCTTTTCCTGTGAGTACTGAAAGTCGTGAGTGCCTTTCAGGGGTTTCAAAAATCGGTTTTTGTTTTGAACATTTCGCATTTTGAACAAAAAAGTTTTGAACATTTTGCACGTACATTTCGCACACCGTATCTGTGAAGATCAAGGATAGGTCTCAGAATGACAAAAACATGGAAGATGAAAGTGGATGCTGCCCTTGGACAAAAATGCCTCAGATTGTTTTGCACGTGGGGCGGGTCTCTGTGGATGTGCTCTAACCGTATTACGATCTTGCGATCGGCCTACATCCCATTACATCCTATTTCCCAGAGTGTAGCTCTTCTCCTGCCATAACAATTTGAATTTCATCACAACTTCGACTGCTCATTTCTGTGCCTAAAATCATTTCTATTTGTTTCACCATCTTTCTAATTGTATGCTGTTTGTAGTCAAACGCATCCTTGTCCTCTGGTCTCCTCGAATACATGAATTTACCTATATGTTTTGAAGTTGAAAAGACATAACGTACCGCCTACACTTTACTTTTATCGGGCACTAGCTGGCATACCGGCTCAGCTCGGACCTATCAGTTTACTACCATTATGGTCACCATTATACCATCCATGCAACATCTCTCTGCCTTTATCCCAGTTCTATGTACCACTTTCCTGTTCCTACTGTGTCCTCGTAACTAGCTCAAAATCAACAAAGGCAATTTTTGATAGAAGACCTACGACACCTAGCCAGCCCCAAAATACGCGCTGTGAATTTCGGTAGGAATCGGTTCACAGTGAAATTTTTTTTGACATAAGTACAGACACACAGACACGAAGCTTTCTTGGGGTCCCGCCAGGTAGTACATACCCTCGATACATAGAGCCACATACTCTGGTGACCTTCACTTTGAGGGCTATGAGGGGACACAACCTTCACCTGGGAAAAAAACAGAAGTCATCCGGGGCGAAGCCCCGGATGTTATTATCCTGACTATATCGGAAGAATGTGAATGAACCAAATATAGGAAAGAATATCTGAAGAATTTCTCAGCGAAACCGAGAATTTGCTTTTTTTAAAGCCTTTTTTACGCTGAAAAGAGAATTTCTGTGAAAATTCGCTCAGAATTCAGGACAACGTTCCTCAATTAGCCTCTTACTTGACCAAAAATGAGTTTCAAAAGTTTGGAAAGCTGTTGGAGTTGAATTAAAATGAGAAACTGCGCTTAATTATGCGCAGAGAGTCGCGCACGAAAATGCTGGTCTATCTCGTTAGTAAGTGATTTTTAAAGCTTGGGACGTTGTCAGCTCTCCTCGTCGTGTCATGACGGTCAGAATGATATATAATGTTACAGGGTTTCGTTGAGACCCCGACGAGATCTACGACCAGAGTCAAATGCCCCGTCGGCTCTGGTCTGTCTCCGCTGCTCGTCTGCGTCTCCGCGCGCTGCGCGCTACCTCGCTACCCCAAACGCGGGGCGCGGGGCATTTGGCTCTGGTACCCTTTTCTTCGTTGTTTCGAACCCAATCTTAGCAAGCTATATATCATTTTGAAGCTCTTGATCTATATTTTCACGCTGACAACGTCCCAAAATCACATTTCTTGATTTGAACGAGAAATCCAGCAAAAACCTTGTTTTCGAAAATCTCTTGTTTTTCTTCTAGTTTACCTCTTTTTACCCGGTTTTTTCGTGCATTCTACAGATCTTGCTTCTGTTCATAAGGCAGACAACCACCCAACCCTCATCTCTTGGATTATGGTGGAACTTTTTTGCGAAAAATCGTAAAAAGTGCGTTTTTCTTTGCCTTGTTCAGTTTCAGTGCTTTCGCATCGATTTTTTTCCAACTTGGGCGATTGTTGCTCAGAACAATAAGCGCAACAATCCAGACAATGTCCCAGGAAACGGAACGTCAATGCGGGGGTAAAAATTCAAAGGACGCATCAAAATCAAAACCCCGTGTTGCGAATTGGTGGTCCTGGAACGAAAACTTGCACTCCGAAAAGCCGCCAAATGAAAGATTTTAAGCCTCATTGCAGCGTTTTCATCCTATTTTCAGCAGTTTCTTTTGCTTTTTGTATCTGTTTTATGTCATTTTCTCTTCTCTGATCATCTTTAAACAACCTTCACTATTTATGACGTCAGATGTTCAAACAACCTTCACTTTTGACGCCCTGTCTCTAGACTATCGAAGGTAAGATATAATATCGTTAAGGTTCTGTAATGTGCTGTGAAATCAAAATTGAGAGAGAGTAAATGTCATAGTGTCAAGTGTTTAATACAAAAAGAGACTCAATTAAATAGACATAAACGTTTCTGAACCGACTCTGAATTTACGCCGTTGAATGTTTGCCAAATCTGAACATTCATACGCTCGAAAATCTTGCAACAAGGGAAGTAACATTGGTCGAAGTGCCGTTTACATGTAAAATGTATACTATCTTATGAGGTCTCGAACCCTGATTCCAAATCTGCTTTCGATATCTGTAAGCGATTCTAAGCGGAAAGTTATGAAAATTTTTCGAACAAAAACTTGATCGCACGACTACAGTAACCATTTAGAACTGTATTCTGCGAGCACAGATGGGCCACGAATAGTACCGGGGCGCTTTATAACAAAATACCAACGATGCACACCTAGCGAAAAGCGTTTCATTTAATTCGTCGCTGCGAAGGGTCGTTTCTTACTTCGATCCTTTAAACATTTAAAGCCATTCTGATACTTGGGTGATTCGTTCGAGCAGTTCAAAGGCAGTGGCTCGGCATATTCTCGATCTAAATTTTTTGCTTTTCAGGGTAGTCCGATGTTTCGAAATCCACCTCAGAGAGCTCGAAAATAGAGAGGACCTGCATTTTTCAAGGCCCCTCATTCTGAATTTGGGCAATTGGAACAATTTCCGTCAAAGTCGGAGACGCAGAGTCGTTGCGGGACCTTTATGAATATAACACTGCGGCATGTC